TTTTATCTGCTATGTTGTTAATGTTTACCCTCGCTCTGTTGTTAATGTTTATCTGCTATGTTGTTAATGTTTATCTGCTCTGTTGTTAATGTTTATCTGCTATGTTGTTAATGTTTATCTGCTCTGTTGTTAATGTTTACCTGCTATGTTGTTAATGTTTGCCTGCTATGTTGTTAATGTTTACCTGCTCTGTTGTTAATGTTTATCTGCTATGTTGTTAATGTTTATCTGCTATGTTGTTAATGTTTATCTGCTATGTTGTTAATGTTTATCTGCCCTGTTGTTAATGTTTATCTGCTCTGTTGTTAATGTTTATCTGCTATGTTGTTAATGTTTACCTGCTCTGTTGTTAATGTTTATCTGCTATGTTGTTAATGTTTACCTGCTCTGTTGTTAATGTTTATCTGCTATGTTGTTAATGTTTATCTGCTATGTTGTTAATGTTTATCTGCTCTGTTGTTAATGTTTACCTGCCCTGTTGTTAATGTTTATCTGCTCTGTTGTTAATGTTTACCTGCTCCGTTGTTGTTAATGTTTACCTGTTTTGTTGTTAGTGTTTACCTGCTCCGCTGTTGTTAATGTTTACCTGCTTTGTTGTTAGTGTTTACCTGCTCTGTTGTTAATATTTACCTGCTCTGTTGTTGATTATGTTCTGCTCTGTTGTTTATCTGATCTGTTGCTGTACATGTTAATCTCCTGGTCATAACACAGATCGTGCATATATACCCCTCATCACTTGGTGGTAGACACTCCAACTTGATAACAGCCTAAGACTATACTTCAGAAACGTCGCTGCAATTAATCACAACTTGTAATCCATCAACTTGTTTCCTGTCTTATTTACTCGCCGAGTTCTTGAATGCCAAGCAAACATCATCATAGTCAATTGAACTGAGATTTCCTGGTAATGAGGCTGTGTAGCGATTAGGAAAGGCAACAGTGCAACTAAGACAAATGACATTTACATAGGGGACTATAACGTTTCAATTCACATACATATGTAAGAAGAATTCAAATTTCAGAGTTATAATGTGATAGATCTGAATAGGCTGTAATTTAACAAGCTGACATAAAACCAAGAATTATTCTTATAACACGACAGATAAAATTCGATATCACGACCATTAGTACGACTTTTTGATTGGTTTACAGCAAGTTAAGTCAAGGCTCTCCCATCAGTGCTTCGTTACTCATTCTGTTGCTATGGAGACATGGGTGACAGTAAAGTTCACTATCAAATTGAATGCCATATGGATCAGTTTGAAGTATTGCGAAATAAATTTACTCTAAATTTTAATGACATCTGGGTGATAAAGTCAGAGAAATGACTTGAAGAAATAAACAGATTTGTAGTACTGTGCGGGAAAAGACATATAACATTGAACTGTGTAACATAAGTTATATTTGGGACTACACTTCCTCAGTAAAGAGCAGATTCTAGCACTTTTGTTGGGCTGAATCCCATCATAAGTGTTATCAGAGGGGTACTCAAAGTCTGTGGTCTAGACTACCAGTTGTCCGCCTTCCATTTTTGTGGAAGCCGGTTAGGCGGCTGACTTTGTTGTGCTTGCTATTAGGTGCCTGACTCTGAGGGTGTGGGTTCGAATCCCGGGTGGGACTGAACCCAACAAAAGTACTACAATCTGTACTTTACTAAGAAAGTGTAATCCCAAACATAACATATGTTACATTTGGCCACTTTCCAAATGGCACTGTGTATTCAAACCTACTGTCCTCAAAACGTCAGCAATTTCTAAACTAGAGCATATTTTCATCTCATTACCCAGCCCACCTGTAGATTTTTAACATCTCAAGAAAGGATTTTTAAACATATTTGAATGACAAAAATGATAAAGAGGAGCACAATGAAAAGGATTTAAAAGTTGGAGGAGCGTTGCGCGTGGTTGATATAAAACATTTATTGAAACTTTGAAACTGTCTACCCTGATGTTGTGTTGCACAAAGGCATTCGTTAATCCATATGATGCAGCTTTTAATAATTGAAAAACTAATTGAAATGAAAAATCCTTATTGGAAAGAAGTGATAAAACTATGGAACAAATATCGTTAAAGAATGTAGTGACATTACATCCTACCCTTTATGGCTCATTCAGAATTTTTAAAATCTTTTTTCATTTCATAACACAATGGCCTAATAACGGAATATGGAATATGAAGTAAGTGTATGATGAAAATGGTTTAAACTTTGAAACTTTAAAATGTAACTATGAAATAAAGAGGAATTAATTATAGGGTCATCACTATGTTTTACACATTTGGCCTGAATCCTGAAAAATGCAGTTAGAACTATTAGTACTATAAATAATGTACCCGTGAAGATCCGGGTTAGAATTGGTCTTTTGTTTATGGGCGTGAAGTCTTTAATGTCTACAGACATTGTTTTATGGAATTAAACTCCTTTATTTTCAATACAACAAAGGGATATTTGTAGTTGAAAGATTCATCGCAAAGAGAAGTTGTGATATTGATAATTTCAATAACAAATGGTTTCCATTATTCCCCGTATTCAGTCTTTGGCATTGGGTAGATTTTCTCTTGCAAACAGAATCATTTGTATAACCTTTTATGTAATTTTGGTATTTGCCTATGCTTACAACACATCACTTTGTAAAGAAGGAAAAAATGTAAATAGAAAAATTAAAACGAAACGTTCACCATCAATGATATATCGCATTTCCTCTAATAAGCGGGCGCTTGTTAGAGGAAATACGGTATTTTGTCTAACCGAAGATACTCAAATGTATTAATATGGAGCATTAGGCCAGACTTCAATGTTTAGAAATAAGGACAATTCAGGTTGGAAAGTCGAAAAAAGAGAATCATTTCAATTCTTGATTTTATTTCCTGAGATTAATAACTAGGTAGGAATTGTGTGTAGGAAGCCATTTTAAGATACATTTTCAACAGGTTTTGTCATTATATTATTTGAATACATTATAACAAATTTTACATGAGGCAGATCAGGATTCATTTAGAGTTCCTTATTTGACCAGCAACATTCATATGTTTTACATATTTTACAAGGCGCAACAACACCATAACGACTATGTTACTGTCGCCACGTGGACTCTGGAACTAGGGAACACTCCCAGCTTGGCTCTGAGAGGGCGGATGGCGCCATTGTGGTTAGATATATATAACGTATTTTATGAGCGCTTCGTAAATGGACAAAAAGCATTTCCTGGAAGCGCTCGTAGATCATGTATAGCTGTATTCTAGAAGACACCACAAATCAAAAAGTATGCTACTTTTTGGATAACATAGAGTGACGTTTCGGTGTAGGTTTTTACATCCTTTCCGAGTTAAACTGACTATAACCAAGTGAATATTTGTTTGTTTGTATTCTGGATTAGACTTTCTCAGTAAAGTACAGATTCTAGTACTGTTGTTGAGTCCCATCCGGGATTCGAACCTACACCCTCAGAGTCAGGCACCTAATCGCCAGCACAAGAAAGTCAGCTATCTAACCCACTCAGCCACCGCAGCTTCCACAAAAATGGAAGTCGGACACCTTGTAGTCTAGATAACGGACTTTGTGTACCCCTCTGACATTCTTCTAAAGGTACCATTTATCGCATATTCAACTCTGAACCTGTCCTCGAAAACTATTTGACATGTGTCCTTTCACCTTGGCTCTTAGATTCCTCTTGTTTAGAACTTCCTGACATCATTTATCTATAGAACAAACTTCCCCCAAAAGAAAGATTGCGTAACCTCTGCGACATCCAGGCTGGTTTAAACAGCTGGGACATTGTTAAAAACAAAACAATGCCACAGACTGTTACATTTCGATCACTCGGGTGACAGATAAGGGTTATTTTATTTATTTACGATATATTTTGGTCTTGGGGTTTGATACAAAACAATTTGAAACATTCAAAATATTGCTACAATATCTGTTTGTATTAGATATTCTTGTGTGAGAGAAAGGGGACCCTAGATGTTACAGTCTCGTGTGGTGTTGTAAGATTCAGGACATCAAAGGCTACACGCACTGCGCATTTCCGACAATCGTGATTCATCAAAGGAGCGCCCTGCTCGGTGCTTGTTTAGTTTTGCATATCCTTGCGTAACTCCAATGGGTAATCTACGAGATACAACTTGAAATAATCAACATCCGAAGTATAAACTAAGACTATAGATACCTATTGTTTACAAATATTACGAGATATAGGTATTACGTTAATCAAAGGGGCGGCGGGATAGCCTATTGGTTAAAGCTTTAGCTCGTCACGCCGAAGACACGTATTCGATTCTACACATGGGTACAATGTATGAAGCCCGTTTCTGGTGACCCCCGCCGTGATATTGCTGGAAAATTGCTAAAAGCAGCGTCAAACTCACTCACTCACTGTAATCAAAAGTGAAGCAAAGAAAGACGTTATTAACTTTGTTTAACGTTTACATTTGTTAGATATAAATTGCAAATAGGTTTTTTTGTGTTGTAGAAAGAGAAATGAGGGTTGTAACTTAAAGTACCGGCGTAAAAGAAATGGGCTCTCGTCGGATCATAGGTTTTCACACTGGTACGGCAGTGAACACCACGGGCTGTACCGGTGTTTCGTCACACCGATCGACATTGTAACCTTTTGAATGATGGCCTATGTTGGGACAAAGTTATCTTTTAGTTATTGATATGTTTTACAATTGTTTGCAATCGTTCATGCGGTAATGAAGACAACAACGGATGTTCTTTTAAAAGTGTCCGAAAACCCATAACGCTGGGCTATATTTGTTATTTTACGTCTGCTTTCGTCAATCGAATTTATTCCTACGGTAGTCTCCCTTGTCACAAAATAATCCCGTGAAACAAATAGTTATACCATTGATATGATTAGTATATTCAAAAGTGTCGATTTGAAGCATAACGTGTATTAGGTTATTACACTGGTTTTCATTAAATGACTCGGTTATTTATTATAACAGAATTCCTAAAACAGGCGCATGTATCGTCGAACTACTTTCGTAGCCATATTTGATATCCAACTTCCGTTCAAAGTTTCAGTCATAACTGAGGGAAATTAATTATTCTAATTCACACTGTATATTTGTTGGACTGTTACGTGATACATATATTCTGAAGCGTTTAGAGACCATGTATCTAGAACAGCCATCAGATTGAAAATCTACGTGTGTATTGATCAGATCAAGTGTGTTTTGTTCGACCGATCTGACGTTTCAGGTTTGACTGAAAATAGGACTGCTCTGGATTTCATTTATCGTCTGAGGATAATTAGCTGATATTACTGTCATGTTTTAACCGTATATGTATTCGAGTACATTGATGATTGACATTGATGATATATATTGGTTTGGGTTAGCTGTATAAGTAGTTTCCCTCCTAATCAACATCTTTTGACCCGTGGTGTCACAGTGACACCTGTTAGACCAGTCCATAATTCACATAATAAAATGTCCATATGACACCAGTTACGGTGTTATGGTTAGATGACAGCACTGTGTAGATGGAGCTGGGATCTTTGTGAAAGAAGGTAATTGATGCACATTGGGAAAAAATGTCGGATGATGCAAAGAAGTTTCAGACTCCAGAAGAGGAGCTGAAATATTGGCGAAGCCTTGCAGAGAAATTCAAGCAAGAGTAAGTTCATTTGTCTTTCCTGATAATGCATCTCACGTTTGACTAGCCTAGTTGAATGTTGATTGTAAACATATCTGATGATAGACTGATCATTTTAGTATTTTCTAAATTAATATGGTAATTTGGCAAATTTGGGGTATGTAGCTATGCTAAAAGATCCAAAGATTGACATGCCATGCTCATAAGGATGGCGATGATCAGTCTGAGGTTTATTGGATGTGATATCCTTCGATGCAAAATATCCAACATGCTTAAAGATTGAAAATGGACATGCATCCACAAGGGTGCAAAAAATGTGTATTCATATTCAATGAATGGTGAATGAAATTATTTGATAAACTGCATTACTTATAAATTACTGCAAAATATAAATTTCCATTTGTTAACATCATGAAAACGTTTACATCGTCGAAACTTCAAAGCTCATGTCCCATTTTTGGTGTCCCCTGCCGTGATATTGCTGGACTATTGCGAAAAATGGCGTAAAACCATACTAAGTCAGTCAATCAGTCAGTCAGTCAAAGCTCATCTTGAACTAGCACTTCTGTTGAGTAATTCCATATTTATATTTGAGTAACAGCTTTGGGGATGTGCAGTATTATGTATTTCGCCTGTAGAGTAGTGTCTTCAAATTGACTGAGGTGAAGTGTCTGCTTTGCCTGTAGAGTATTTGCAAATATATTTCAGCATGGAATGATCTAGTTCATCTACAAACAAACATGAATAAAAAATACACATATTTCATATTGAAATAGATAAAAACCAACAAGGAAATAACATGGTTAAGCTCCTTTATTGGAATTATCATTTATTCAGTGTTTGACATTTTGTCCAGTTTGTAATATTGACTGTACTGTACTGTTGGAGAGTCCCCGAGTCCCCAAGTCCCCAGAATATATAAATCACTGGAACAAAATCAAGAATTTAAATTAATACTATGGTATTAATTATAAGACACATGTAGTATTATACGTAAGATAGTTGATATTATAAATGAGTATTAATGTTCAGATTTCTTTTACTTGTAGGTCACACAGTGATACATGTATACAAGTTGTTACAACTGTAACACTGGTGATGCCATGCATGAGGAATCACAAAGTGCACAAACATTCACCATGCTTCCCATGCATGTGTAATGACCTGTAACATTGGACTTAGTTGTGTTCATCAAACCTACAAGCATACAGCTGTAACTAGGTTGCAATCAAAATGACATAGATAACCTGTTTTGTAATTATAGATGTGCATGTGCTACTAGCTTGCTACTCAGTGTACTAGATTGTTTTCAGTGAATACTTTACTATGGTAATTATTTTTTATCATGTCACGTTTTATGTTCATTCGGCTTGAGGTAATAACAGGGTTTAAAATACATGTAAATCTCTGCCTCCAATCATGATGACTCCCAAACAAAAACACTGCCATACCCTTGTGTCACTTCAGTTTTTGCATGTGGAAACCATGGGCCTGTTAACATGTGCGTAGCCATGAACATTACAAAGCATAACAGTCTCACAGGTAACATCCTACCTTGTTGATACGGTTAATTTCTTTGGTCATGTGGACACGGTATCTGACCTCAGATCAGAAGGTCAGTGGTTGGAATCTCATCACAGGACTTGGCCGTTTTGAGGCTGCTACACATTCATTGCATTACAATTCATTAATGCATTAAAACAAATCATTGTCACCATGTTGTTGAGGTCAGCATCATTTCCTCTTGTCAGACATGATATATAAATATGTGTTACACATCAAGATATTTGTTGAACTGTTTGAGTAATGTCTATCCAGTATGAATGCATCGGAAAAGAATCATAATAAAAAATATGTTTAACAGTTCCTGAAGTGTAATGTTCATGGTAATCTTTAAATCTACTAAAGTTTTGAAAAATTAGTGTTTCAGATAGTTTACCATGTTTACTGCAAGTAATGCACATTGCAGAACTAGAAGAAGGTTAATCATCTGTCAATGTCATGGATGGATGGATGCATGCATTTATGTATGCCATGAGAAAACAACACACTCACTTCAATTGAAAAAAAATGATGCATTCATTTCGTAAGATAGTTTGTAATCAACAGGAGCAGACCAATGACTTGTCAGTGTTAATCCTTCCTGAACACTGTCACACTGCTTGTTATTACCATGGATGCTATTTGGCTCAGTTGGTTTCATAACAACAAAGAAAATCATTCCAATATTTGTAATGTCTGTGGTTGTTAGTTGGCAAAACTATGGCCTTCATCATGTTGTATATGCACAAGGACCATGTGCATATAGGACTAACAGTCTTAACATGTTCAGACAATTTAGACTTTGCAATAAATCTTGTCAATGTGGTCATCTGTTGATAACCAAGGGAGTCTAAATATACCTTCCCTAATTTGCGTCTTGTTCTTTTTGACATGGTGGACATTCCCTTGAAATAGAAACATTATTGCAAGTTTATTTTTCCTCACAAGTTGTCATGTCTATAAATATTGGTAACCTGATACTAAGTAGTGATGATCAGGGTCCAAAGATTTAACCATGGTCATGGAAAAGAACTTATTGTTGTCATACTTATATCTGTTTGTCGTCTCATCTTGTCTAAGCGTCATGTGTACAGATATGTGATCATTTCCGGTCAATGTGAATGGTCACAACTGCTGTATTTTTCAGACTTGAAGAGACTAAGGAGGAACTAGAAGAGTTCCAAATCAGCAGCCGAGAACTAGAATGTGAGCTGGAGACGCAACTAGAACAGCTGGAAAACAAGAATAAAGAATTAATGGCTGATAAACACAGGCTCACAGTAGAATGTGAATCATTAAGGGTAAGTAGAGATTACAACTAGATAACATACTCATCAGATATCAGATGAGACAGCACCATTCTACTTGTTGTTTAAAGGAGAATACTAGACAATTGCAATAATTTGCTGGGTGAAAGATAAAGTCATCAGAAACATGTACCCCAATTTTTATTTCAGAAATATGGTTTATTATGTTTTTATTCTGAAAACAGTTTCTGTTATCTGAGCTTCGGCCATTATGCATATTCCGCTGGAACTCACATGACCTTTCCTCTTGAGACGTCATGTGACTAGTGTCCGCCATATTGCACCGATGAAGATCCGGGGTAGAATAGGTCTTCAGCAACCCTTGCTTGCCACAAAAGGCGACTATGCTTGTCATAAAAGGCGACTAACTGGATCGGGTGGTCAAGCTCGCTGACTTGGTTGACACATGTCATCGGTTCCCAATTGCGCAGATTGATGCTCATGCTGTTGATCACTGGATTGTCTGGTCCAGACTTGATTATTTACAGACCGCCGCCATATAGCTGGAATATTGCTGAGTGCAGCGTAAAACTAAACTCACTCACTCACTCCGTCATATTGCCAAAGAACAAGCGCTACAGTAATACAAATCGCGTTGTTTCTGTCGGTTTTTGTAAATGGTACCATGATGTATTCTGTTGCCTGGGGATGCATGGAATCATCGAACAATGGAAAGAGCCACCATTTTGTCCATTTTCCAAATAAAGAGACATATTTAGGCAGGAGAAATGCTCCGATCTTTCTGAGTCGGACGCATATGAAAGAGACATGAACACATGGGGTGTGAAAATCCCAAAGCTAGGCTGAAGAAGGAAGAAGTACCCACAAGATACATTTATACTCCATCATTCCCTGTTACAACTTACTGTCAGTGGTATTTTTAACATAAATTAAATCAAGTCCGATTGCCAGTCGAATTGCCCCCGCTACAAATTGCCCAAGCAAAGTTGGTCAAATTGCCCCAGGGGGTACTCAAAATGCCCCAATTTATTTAAAATGATTAAATATAGGCCATAAATGTATACTTTGGTCAACTTTGATATTATGTTCTTCATATAAAAGTATATACATAGTTATGAGTTTACTAATGGAACATTTATCAGAAATATTACTTCCTAATAACTTTTTTATGAGGAACATAATCTCAAAGTTGACAAAAACTATGCATTTACGGCATATATTTAATCAGTTTAGATGAATTTGACCAAATTAGAATGAATGGCCAAATTTGCTGGGGCATTTTGTAGCTGGGGCAGTTCGACTGGTACCCATGAGATATATATTATCAAAATCAGTAAGAGATTTCACATGAGCTTGAAAATGTTTCATTATAACGTTCTTTTTGGTTTGGAGCCCTAAATGCTGCAGTCTACCCGACTTTCATGCTTTCACTTTTTGCTTTCATTGTTTTCCATTTTGCCCAATTACGCACGTTGGCATCAGACTCGCTATTTGTCAGTAGTGTGTGCCGTGAAAGTTGTTCTGTATTCTCATTGGCTGACAAGATGTCATTCTAAGGGTATGACCGAGTACCATAACTATATCCATAACCAAACGCTGGGGAAACATACATTGTCCTGACTAGTATTTTATAATTCACCAGTTTCCTGCGTTGCGAATATTATCTCTGCTCAACCAGGCTGGGATCTTGTATGGAGACTTGATACCTTATAAATGAGAACTACCGGGATTTTCCGGAAAGCCACCCAGGGCTGTAAAATGGAAATTTGGGGAAAATTGGGGGTAAAAATGGACCACATAACCGCCCGGGCGATAATTCAGAAATAAAATAATTCAATAGTCGGGAACTAAAATCAACTCACTGTCGAGTTTCATCCTGATTAGATATCGTGTAGATGCAAGCAAAATGTTGCCAAAATGAAATCTTCGCAATTCAACATGCAGTAGTCATAACATTATTTATCTATCTGAAAAAATGTGTTGCCAATATACCCTGGGCTTATCTTGTGACAGTTAAAACATACCTAATAATTCATGAAATCAAGGCAGTCATCTTGCCTCTTCGTAAACCGAAACTTGATCATCAGCCATTTTGTAAGCATGTGACTATCATCCAATCAGAAAGCTGCTGTCAAATTTGTCAGCCAATCAAATTTAACCTTACAATGTTACGGTACCAATATTGTAATGTAGAGGGTTATAGGTCATGCAGTTGTTTACATACGCTACAAGGCGGGACAGACAGAACATATGACATACATTATGTACCTTTCAATAATAACAACATTTCCTTGAATAAAGATTTATTTTTTATTTTAAGATTTATTTAGACAGTTACAAATTGTGATTGTTTATCACAGCAGTTGCCGTTTGCTGGAGCCCTGATTTGATTACCGGTACAGTGATAATTTATTTGTGAAAACAATTGGTTGAAGAGACGCACGTGTGTGTTTGCTTTTCATTCAAGCGTTGTACCCCGGTACTAGAAGTGGGTTGGACAATATGCCCTTATTTGGAATTACGCAATGCTTTTGTGTCAGCTAATCTGATTGGCTTATTGAAAGCCACCATCTTTCTAGGTCATCAAAACATCATACCGGTAAGTTGTAATGTCGCTTTGAAACGGTGTGCCGCTAAATGCATGAACATAAATGATGTAACAATAACGTTAGATAATGTAATGTAAATGAAGATTTTTCAATTAAATCAGGCTATTTTAACCATTAGTGTAAAATCTGTGTGTCAAAACGGACACGATATCCTGCGCAAAAGTGTTATTAAATTTATTTTCCTACCCGTTTATATTCATCTACAATGAACAATGACCTCAGACACATAAATAACGAAGTTTACTGTGAATTATATTTCTAAATAGCAGTAATGAAAAAATAAGTTTTAACCCCATATAATCGCCATCTAAAATAAGCTCCCATGGGTGTAATTTTTGAAGCAGATAATTTCCATTTCCCCCCTCTGAAGCATAATTATTTTGTTTTTAAATCCCAGACACCCTACAGTCACCCATTTGACACAAAAGGAACTGCAATTACATTTAAAAAAAAGAAATTCTTAGGGACTGGTCATATATTTAATGGGGTGGGACGTCATGTCACGTGATACCCCCTCTGCTCATTAACTGTCGGATGTTTCCGTAATAGGCGGAAATACGAGTACGTTTTTTGAGTTTTTATTGCTATTTTACAAACTTTTTGTTCAGTTTTAATCACGGTAGGTGACTTTTAGAATATCCTTTACAATATATCAAAAGTTTTTTTTTCTTTTGTATTCTCCTTTAACCTCAGTCATCGCTTGTACAGAGTTATGGCCCTTGTCATGCGTTTTTGTACTAAGTGCACGGTATCCCCCATGGGGACAAGTTTTCTCAAAAACAGTTATAGATAGGGAAACCAAATTTGGTAAGTATTTTCAGGACGCAAATGCCTTGATGGAAACCACGTTACGATTCTTTATAGAGTTATGGCCCTTGTCAAACGTTTCTTGACTTAGTGCATGGTAACCCCAGTGGGAACATATTTTCTCAGTAACCGTTACAGATAGGGAAACCACATGTGGTAGGTGTTATCAGGACATGAATGTCGCGGTGGAGTTAAAAAACAGAACCGTGTGGCGGGGGATATTGATGACCATGTCTTCTTGTTTTTTTCTGACATTATGAATATTGATGTAGATAAATAATGTAACCATGGTAACAGAGTTGATTATCATATCAATTATGGAGAGGTTATTTATCAGTGTTTTTGCTTGTCATTATCAGGAAAAATTAGAGATACTACAGGGGTCCAGCCATAAACAAGTTTCTCTTCTAGAAGATGAACTAGCTCAAGTTTCTGCATTTAAAGATGAACTACAAAAATATGTACGAGAACTGGAACAGGCTAACGATGACTTAGAAAGAGCTAAAAGGTATGTCTTTTTTACTTTGTGTATGTATCAGTTTGTACAATATGTTATAATAATAATAGTGGTCTTTTCCTTCAGTGAGAAGAGAATGACACAAGCAGGATGATACTGATTTACATTTAGTGTTTTGCTTGTGTCAGCTTTATAGATCCTAGTTAACACTTCTAAAATCAAATTATTGAAAAACATTATCAGCTCTAACTTTGAGACTGTTTTCCACTGGATGCTATGACAATACTTGTACCTTGATATGGCCAACTTATCACTGTTTCCCCAATGATAACATGTGTTATCACTGTTTCTTATTTTGTCAGATGTCACATTTGAGCCTATCTATCAGTTTGACTTCTTTGATTGGCATTCTAGAAGTTGGGTAGATGAAGAATGAGCACTATTTTGATGGATATACAACTTCTTTATTCTATATACGTCGCCTATATACGTCGCCTATATACAATAAAGAAGTTGTATATCCATAAAAATAGTCCTCCTTCTTCATCTATCAGTTTGTTTTGGTATTTAAAGATATACTTATTTTTTCAGAGCTACAGTTGTATCCCTTGAAGATTTTGAATCTAGATTAAATCAAGTGAGTAATTCAACTAATTGTTTTGTGCATTTTCATATAAGATTTGAAACAAACCTATTTATGGTGCCGAACTGGTAGGATTATGATGCCTGTTCGACTGAGTATTATTGGAGATGTAGAATAGCTTTTGTAGATTTGTTTTATCCACCTATGGGTATGACACTATTGTTTGTAGTCAGATTACTGATAAGCCACACAAAGTTTAGCTTTACTCACATTTCCTTGTACAAGTTGTCATGAATGAAACAAGTTAGTGAAATATGTTCAAGATAGTTGGAAGTGTGTCAGTTCCTTCATCATCTGAACAATTGTGTGTTTTTTGTATCCTGGTTATAATTATATAAACAGAGGAAGCATATGTACAAGTAGCAAGAAAGTGTATTTTTGATCTCATACCAGGCATTATACAGTTATTGTAATACTTGCATTGGTTGCAGGCAATAGAAAGAAATGCATTCCTAGAAAGTGAACTGGATGAGAAGGAAACACTATCAGAGACAGTACAACGACTCAAGGATGAGGCAAGAGGTTAGTAAATAGACTAATGTTTCCTGAACTTGTAGGGGCGGTGGGGTTGCCCAGTGGTTAAAGCTGGGGGCCTGGGTTCAATTCCCTACATGGTTACAGTATGTGAAACCCAATTTTGATGTCTTGCACCATGATATTGGTGGATTGATAAGAGTGGCATAAAACTACACTCATTCACTCATTCTACAATGTCACAAACAGGTGCCCTCCTAACAACTGTATGACAGCTAAGATGATCTATTTGTCAGAATGAGCAGTGGTTTCCAGCTTTAACAAAAGTGTCAGATGAGCTCATGGCCATGTTACTATGTATTTTTTCTTATCCTGACTCATGATCTTTTGCTTATCTCACTTTTCCTTGCGATTGGTAGTGGAACACTTGAATCCCTTGAAGTTCCCGAGGCGGACGTAAAAATACACTCACCCACGAGTTACCTCCCTTTTCCCGCGTAAACAGTCATGTGACCAGCCTTACTTGTCACTCTCTCCCTTTTCGCCCAAGTGGATGGTTGGGTGAGCACTGGAGTCCCGTATACGGCATTATATCCTTTTATTTAGGTCCTATTCTTCAAAATTACGCTGTGTATGGCTTTGGCAATAACTACTATTTATTACCCACGTGGTCAACGTATGGGTAGTTGCATACTAATCTCGTACGTCACACGAGTGTCGTATCGCGTTGACCTGTGTCATAACGACTTGACCTGAGATTCTAACGATTTGATTGGATAACCGATGACCTCTCAATTAGGTCACATTATGACGTAACTATTTTTTCATTCATAACAAACACGTGAATTCATTCATTCTACAACTTAAATGCATTGTGGGAATGTAAACATCGCGAACGTTGCCGTGTCGCTGTTTAATTGTGAGTCGAACTGAGACATTATATCCGTCGAAAAACGTAAACGCAATGTTTCCACCAGTAATGTTAGCGAATGTAGCAACTGCAAACCAAGAAACGGGTGCTACGGAGTAGTTTACTGTAGGAGGCTGTAATGAGGCGATGACAACTGATATGAATCGTGACGCCGGTTACCAAGGCAGTGACGTCATTACAGTGTGACGCCATGCAAATATTGTACTACAGTACAAAACTCTTCCGCAACCTCTTTATGAAACCGGTTTCTGTTTGAAACCAAAATATTAACAAAACTACAGCTATTTTGTCAGTTTAATGCATGTAAGACGTGGTAATAAATAAAATACCACGTTTTCGGTTTACATATATATCGAACTTGTGATCTTCCTATGTTATCTGACCCGGCTTTTCGCTTAGGTCAGTAGAAGGACACTCGCTTCTATAATGTATTATATGTAAACATTTTGTTAAAATTATTTGTATTTGTGTCATAATTGAACCTATATCCAAGGTACCTTCTAACCTACGCACCGCTTTGAGAAAGCTGCAGACATCTACAAGTTCGAGAACTCTCAGATCTACAGGCAGATAACAGCAACGCAGACATCTACAGGGTTCACGAACCCTAGGGTTAATAAACCCTTACATCAACAGGCAGGATGTTGACGTCGACTCTATTACCATACGGCTGAATAGAACAAGGCAGTGATGAAAACGGATGGTTTTGTCAGAGTTTAAAACTCAACAAAAAGATCTACTACATGTGAGATCTCTACAGTTTACAGCCTGCACAACTCTACAACCTGCACAAACCTTATACCTGTATAGGTTCAGTTTCGGACGACAACCTACTTGATGAAAGAAATCACTTCATCTATACGGATGCTGAGGTCTTATACCGGGTAGCAGATGGCCTGTGGATATTGTAGTTCACTCACTCACTCCAACCCAACAGATACGTACTTCATATACGCTGATGACTTCGACTCCAATATGATATCACCTATGAAGCCGATAAGTACTGGAGAACCTCAAGGCGACCTTTGTAAAGGGCTTCAGGTTAACAACGCCTTCAAGTATCCTTGAACGGACGTACAGATGATATTATTAACACTCGTCACTCAGCATGGGGATTAGGATTTTATATCCTATCAACTAGATTCAACATCAGTATTTCTTCAAGATCCATACAGACATACGTCTCGACAGCCTCCTTCGTCATGCTGGCTTATATTATCCACAATGGGAATACGTGATTCATATCACTGAACAAGATTTTACACTTGGAGCAACCCTTATTCAAGAGGTTTATATGAGTGGCGTAGAATTACGCGCGCTTTTACTCAACCAACTAATTGCATCAGATTTTATGTAGGCCAACTTGCTACAACACCGGTGACGTCATGCTTGGAAGCTGATTGGTCCATGTCAGACACCGCCTCCCACTGACAGAGCAGGCTCCAGCAAGTTTTCTGATTTGTAAACAAACCCGTGGTACGGGGGAATACTTCATTGGCAGCCTTGGAAACAGTATACAACTACAGCCTGTTATCATCATGGGAATCTAATAGATGTCTAGCCTTTACAGCAGGATAAATGATGTTTATTTTGGAACTTGTCTCTGATAAAAGTCGGTATGAGTACCTGTCCCCTGCGATGCTACACTGGAGCCAGCTTTGCTATAAATAGACCATGCTTCGATGTATGCTGATCAACACAGATCGCCTGCGTATATAAGAGGAAGAATGATGTATCATCACTGCAATCAGAGGTTAGCACTTCCGATGGAACGTCCTACTGTTTGGAATATCGTCGACTCTATGATTATTCATACGAATAACCAAGCCTATCAGCACCTATCTGCCGCATCGAGGTCTACGCATAGCCGGTTATCTGGACGACGGCATACAGGTTCTTCAAAGTGCCAATCAACTCAGACAGCAGCTGAACTTCACAATTAAGTTGCTCACGCAACTAGGATGGCTAGTGAACCTGATGAAGTTGGAGTTAGAATCAAACAAGATCTTCAATTGCTGGGAATAAGAATTATCACAACACAGAATCGAATTGTGGTCCCAGAAGATCATTGGGTCAAGATACAAGCCATGATTCCACAAGCAGTCATCTCTCCGTTAACACTACGAACATGGCAAAGTCTACTCGGTCTACTAACCTCGGCGCAGGACTTGACTCGCACAGGAAGGTTACAACTAAGGCCGCTGCAACGGTTCCTGACAAAACATCTGGACAGCGTCGACCCTATCTTGCTGCCAGACAATCTCAAGAGGTACCTACTTTGGTGGACCCACATGTCGAATGTCTGCGGAGGGACCTATTTACAAGAGCCGGCCTTTGACACACATCTCTATGTAAACGCATTGATCAGAGGCCCAGATAAGCTGCGTATCCGGGTAAAATACACATAGAAAATTTTCAATTACGCATTGAAAAATAATTGTTGCGTACCAATTAAGCATTTAAAATGTTAGATACGTAAAAAGTTTAAAACAAATGCGTCCGGAATATATTTATAAAAATCGCTTGCGTAATGAAAAAGACATCGATTGCTATCAAGTTGTACTGTTAGTATAGGACAAGTGTTGTACTGTCAGTATAGGATGAGTGATTTTTTATGAAATCATTTCCATTATATTTAAGTTGGTTTTGATTAGGTATGGCATAAGGCAGAACATACCTGCTTAGTAAACCTACTCAATGACATAATACTTAGGTGAGTAAAATGACTGAAATACGCACATATTTGAAAGCAGTGGGTAACGGAAAATGAAATACCCACTCAACATTCATAATACCCACTCCAAAAAAATACAGTGGGTACAGTACCAACATGAGCTAAATCTTATCTGGAGCTCTGATTGATGCAAGGTTGGGGTGCACATCTCAACAATCAAGTTTCATCAAGGAAGTGGTCCAAAACAGAGCAGCATCATCACATCAATCTGCTGGAGATGAAAGCTGTGATCAATTCCTTACAACTATGGTCGAGCTCGCTGATCAACAGGATGCTGATGGTCCACACCGACAAATCTACAGTGGCATTCTCCATAAATCTGCAAGGATCTACAAGATCACCAAGCCTACTACAGCTCACATTCCAGTTGTCTGACATCACAGAGGAGGCAAACATCTGGATAAAGGCGTGTCACATACCCAGAGCCAAGAACGTGCTTGCAGACGCTCTCTCCCGACCACTGCACCCGTCACCTACGGAATGAATGCTCCATCCAGAAGCATTTCGGCTCATCATAAGGGAAATAGAATCCCCTTGCATAGACCTGTTTGCCACGAGGTTCAACATACAACTACAGACGTTTGTCTCACCAGTTCCAGATCCTTAGGCCTGGGCAACAGATGCACTGAGCATATCCTGGGAAGGACTAAACGCTTACGCGTTTCCACCCCCGATATTACTACCGGAAGTACTGTTGAAGATCAAACAGACACAGGTGCTACAACTGACTTTGGTCGCGCCATAATGGCCAGCGAGAGAATGGTTCCTAGACCTAATAGAAGATCTCGGAAGTCAAACAATCAAGTTACCAGATTGGCCGAACCTACTCATACATCCGCACCTACTCATACATAAGTCCAAGGGAACCCGACAGCATTCCAGCTACTCGTGTGGACCGTATCAAAACATGTTTGAAGAAAAGAGGATACTCCGCCAGGGCAGCCAAGGCAGTAACGCTAGCGTTACACAGATCTACTCGTAACATGTATGATGACAAGTGGCTGAAGTTGAAGACTTATGCAAGGCAGAAAGGCTTGATTGCTATGAAAGCTACTCATACTCAAGTGGCGGAATACCTGTGTCATCTTAGACAGACCAGACATCTGAAAGGTTCGACATTATCTACATACCTGGTTGCCATCAGTACAGTGATTACCATGAAAACAGGCATCAAGTTGACGAAAGTACCAGAATTACTTGCTCTGCTGAGATCTTTTAAACTGGAGGACCAGCAAAGAAGTTCAGAGCTCCGGCCTGGGATCTGAATGTAATTTTACGTCATCTTACAAGTGATGTCTACAAACCTCTAGGCCATACTACCTTCGAGCTGCTGACACAGAAGACTCTGTTCCTGCTTGCGCTAGCCACGGCAGCTCGGATATCAGAGATACATGCGCTGGACTTTGGTCGAACCAGATTCAACACGGGGCAACATGCTGGGTTCATCTAGGACTTAGATGGGACGTCATTGCCAAGAACCAACTACCTGGTCAGCCAGATAGACAGTTCCACGTACCAGTGCTATCTACAATCCTCGGACCAGAGGATATAGAAGACCTATCCTTGTGTCCGGTCAGAGCCCTGAAGAGATATCTTCAAAAGACTAAGACAAGGAGACAAAAATTCAAGCGCCTGTTCATCCCATTGTCCACAGAGACATCAGCAGAAGTCTCAAGAATGACAATATCGTTCTGGATGAGACCCGTCATATTGAGAGCCTATAAAGCAGCAGGACTAGAACCTCCTAGAGCTTCCAACCCACACAAAGTCAGAGCACTGGCGTCAACATTGGCTCTGCACGGAAATTGCTCTATATCAGCAATTATGGAGGGCTGCTTTTGGAAGTTGGATACGGTGTTTGCCAACCACTACCTCCGAGACATAACCACTGAAGATGTCTCAGGCATTCACCAATTTGGGCCTCTCGTTGTAGCACAGCAACTAACGGTTCCTCAAAGGCGCGGAGTTGGAAAATCTCACCCTTTATCACGTTGATTTGTTGATAACTTTTACTAAGGAAAAGTATTAGTTTGAAAGTCCATGCGCACAGTCTAGGACAGACTAGCATGAGTGATCTTACCTGTACGTGAAGGGGTTGCAACTCATTTATGATAAAGATCTTATCATAATCTATGTGTTGTTATAGATATCTAGTAAAAAGAAGATACTAGTATATCTTAAGCCACATGAATCAAGATGATTCAACTTGTCTGAGATGGAAGTAAGACAAGAAAGTGGTCCCCCTGAGTTATAACAGAAGTTGGAAGAATAGGATCACGGAAATGCCGTTTTGCAGTTCCCATGGGGGGGGGATACAGGACGTATCTAAGGACAGCTGATGAATCCACAAAGTGGCTTGACCCATTACCAATCCGTTAGATTCTTTAAGCAAAAGGTCATGAGTCAGGATAAGAAAAAATATGTAATTTTTCAAGTAAAATTGATATTTTTATACTTATCCTGACTCATGACGAGAAACCCTCCCAACCTCCCTGCTGGAAACACTTCTGATTACACAGCAGATCCAAGTGCTTGGGCAGAAAAATCAGGAGAGTGTGACAAGTAAGGCTGGTCACATGACTGGTTACGCGTGAAAAGGGAGGTAACTCGTGGGTGAGTGTAGTTTTACGTCCGCTTAGGGAACTTCAAAGGATTCAAGTGTTCCACTACCAATTGCAAGGAAAAGGGAGATAAGCAAAGATCATGAGTCAGGATAAATATAAAAATATCAATTTTACTTGAAAAATTACATTTTTATGAGTTATTAGTGGGTTATATGTTAGAATTGAGCAGCAAACTTATGTTCTTTTACACTACAGTCTGTTAAACTATGTTACGGACAATATGTCAGGGAAATATTCAATCCTTCTTAATCTTATAATCACCACATGGCAAGGTTTATGAGTTAAGGGGTATCGGTGTATTCACAAATTAATATTTATTTGAAGGAAAACACTTTGTCATGCTGCTACCAACCAGTAGTTTACTGTTGCAATGTGGCTGAAAAAATGCTTACATGATTTTACATTTTAGCTCATCCACTCCAGTAACTAGTACTTAATCCTTATAATACAGTCATTGGTCATCATTAGTCTTGTTCATTAAACATGGTAATGGCTAGGAGAAACCCACAACACTATTTTGTCTCCTTATTCCAGACTTGAGGCAAGAGATTGATGTACGAGAACGCCAAGAATTAATGAGCACAAGCTGTGAGTCAATGACCGCCAGTGTTCACTTGGAACCAGAGACCGCTGAACATGCTGATGGCAGTAACGGGGTGACCCCACAGCGAATGGGAGACAGTGGATATAGTGGGTCCCACATGTCTACTACAGTGCCTTTGTCTCCCTCTACTCCTGTGGGTAGAGGTAAGATACAGACACTGTTACATGCAGTACATGTTGTAGTTGTCAGTGTTGTGCTTGTACGTTTGTATTTGTCTGGGGCTGTGTTTCGGTTCACGTTTTCATTCTTGAGACACTGGGTTTTTGTGTGATGAAGGAAGAATCATATGCAAGGCTTGTTTGGATTGTTTCTGCTTTAATATACTAATGAATACACTTTGATTAATTATTATGGTTTTAGATTGCAGATTATTATGTATTCTTTGATGCTGATAAACCAATGATAAGCAGATATAAGTAACACTATAGTCTTCTTGGTGTTAATGAATCAGGAGTGATTCAGATCTAGATACAAGACTCAAGGTTTGTGATCAGATTTATAAAATGATTTATACTTCGTGACCAAATTTATTTTGATCAGTACATTTACACAGTTAGTATGTATTACAGCATCTATTTCCATGTGATCATATACTTGTTGTGCAACATCAACATAGCCTGTTCTCTGACCAATGACAGTGTGTCTAACAAGTGACATTACTATCCATGTATGTATACTAACTTCCTGGATATATCATGATGGTAGCTGTGTACGTCACTACATCAAGGCATCATGTATCACACACCTCACTCATCCTCCTCTACACCAGCATGCCTGCCTGTTTTGAGCTTATCTTTGTGTATGCAAGGGCTATCCTAACAGTCAGTAACAAAATCTTCAGTTTCTGCGTAGCAAATTATATTAATCAAAATACACAGTGGTCCATCATGCTCTTTTTGTGAATCAAAAGTGAAAAGGAAAAATGGATTGAGTAATTCTGACTTTTTAATGTTTGAGTACATGTGTGGCTGCTTGAAAAGGATTATTGCTGCCTTGTTCATTTTTTTCTGAACTTTAAGATTAAATATATGTGTACAAGATGTAAAGTATCTTTTTTTTCTGTGTGGCTTTGTGACACTTTCTTTTACAACAATGTTGAACATGCTGGACTGATAATGAGATGTAAGATCTACAGATGCTTTGTCTGTTATTGTTTTCGTAATGGAAAGTTTGGGAATGAAAAATTATAATTTTGAATAATACAGGTGTTGTAAAAGTTAATTTTGATGTTGAATGTAACTGTTTTGGCAATTTGTGATGATTTGGCTTATATAATCAAAAGCTGGCAACTAAGTATAGCCGAGTGGATTGCTTCATAGACCTTTGGTGTTGTGCGTTGACGTAGTCTTGTAGTAGTTGTTTAAATATCGTGTGTGCATGGAGTAGAATAGCATGTTAACAAGCAACTCATACTCACTTGTTACAAGCAGAACAGTGGAAAGTTTACTCAATGGTTGATGTTTATAAAGGTGATACAGACGTGTAATAGTATGAAGCATTGTGGCATTGCGGATATATTTCTCTAAGATTTGCTTTCATATTTTTGTCAAATGTTGGCATATGCATACAAACAAAAAAAGTCGTTAACTATGTTTTTCTGGAAATACAAATAAAGGATAATGTGATACTGACTATAATGTAAGAGCTTATTTGTTAGAGGCTGCATCTGACAGTAACCTTCTAACATTTCCCAACTCTGTTTAACATTACTAACTGTACAGTGGAATATATATTTCATCGCTCATCTACTCATCAGCATGAGATTGCCACCACCTGTACATGAGTCTGCTACTCGGCTTGAATGACACCTGTTTTGCTTTGCAGGAGTCCCCAGCACGAGTTCTTCTGGTACACCTCTCACTCCTTCAGCGCGCGAATCTCGGCCCTAAACATTGTTGGAGATTTGTTGCGGAAAGTGGGTGTAAGTAGTCTACTGGCTGGCAGCCATATTGGCACCTGGATGCTGGTTGTGCATGGGATGCTGTTACATCCTAGACTTGTTCCATGAATAGTCACCTCGCATTGACTTAATGCTTGCAGAAACTTTATATCATTCCCTTCCCCGTTTGAATGACTTATGTGCATTATGAAGTAGTGTTACTAACAAGCGTATGTTCATTTCATTTTGAATCATTCGTAAGTATTGATACATAGTGTTTTGTGTTAGAAAGGTTAAATCATAGGTTCTGCGTGTATGATGCATACAATGATATGTTTGACTCGTACTTGAGTCATCAGAAAGGTGGAGTCTACAAATTTCAATATTTGTTCTGAACAAGAGCAAATGAACTTGTCTTAAGTTGCCAAGCTTTATGATATTTCAGTATAGTGCATGAGCTTGTTAGAGAGAAATATTGTCTGCAAGTATGCCATAATTATGTGGGTTTTTTTAAAACAAGGGAAATAATCAATTGCATTTTTTTAGGGGGACACATTTCAGAAAAATATTGTGAAATATTGTAAAATATTGTGCAATATTGTGATTGTGCTCTTCTTGTCACAAATCATTGTTTATGTTCTTTTCACGCTGTACTAATGTTAACTCCTGTTTGATAAATAGCTGAATGACACACATCACAATTACAATAAAAGACTATCTAAGGTTTCGCTGGAATAAAGGATAGAGGGGATAATATTTAGGTTTTAATTACGACATATGATTAACCTTAAAAATGTCAAAAGTATTTGTTATCACTGATCATATAGGAATCAAATGTCATCCAATTATTACGTGTGTCCTTCAGGCAATGAATAATGGATGCCATTATAACATGAATATTTTCCTCTGTAAAAATGAATGTTCTATGTGGAATTTATTTATTGTCTCCAAAGCCTAAGGTTTGTGTTTTAGTTGTATACACCATGTTTCTGATGAAATAACTCTTACAACTCTCATTCCTGTAGTTGAATGTTGGGTAGCAGTAACTTTCATACAATGTGTGTGTGGCACGGATTATTTTAAGAGATATTTCTTAATGACTGTTATTAAACTAAATTGTCAGAATGTCAAGTGGCTTGGCTTGGATACTATGTTAAAGGAGTGTTTTGTGTACTAACCATGCTAACTGATGTGATTCTACTAGGTTTTGAAGATAAGAGATTTTGTTGTGCCAGTTCTAATATGTGTATGTGAATGTTCATAATTGCATAACAAATGATAGATTGGGTGAGAAAGTTCACTAGGGATTGCCTTTTCAGTATGTTGCATCTGTGTCTGTGAATTAAACTTTACAGACCCTGATAGTGGAATTTGGTTTTGAAGATGCATGTGGTCTCACCTTAGGCAAGTGAGTTTGTTCAAATTGCCTCTGTTCACCCAGCAGAAAAATGGGTACCCGGTGGGATAAAGTCTTGTGACTATAACCTTCTAGCGCCTAACAGGCAGCTTGGGTTATCCGGGGTAATAAGAATCAGATTCTGATTAAGCGCCGCGAGCAATCACTTGGTGTTTGGAGACTGTGCGCTATAGAAGATGACTTATTATTATTATTAAGAGGAAAGCACTGTTGAGAGTTGGCAGTAGTGCTATCCACAGATATCTCTTCTTACCATCATTTCACTGTATCATTTCCTGTTCACAGGATTAAAATTTGGTTTGTTAATGTTTTATTAAAAACACAAGTGGAAAAAAATTCTTTTGCTTACATTCTATTTTGAAATTACAATTAATGTTATTGTGGTCCTATTAACATGCTAAGTATGTGAAAATGATAAAAATACCAGAACTGATTATGTTTGTTTTTATAAAAGAAATAATTGTGATTTCTTGCAGGCCCTCGAAAGCAAACTAGCCTCATGTCGAAATTTTGTAAAAGATCAGCCTCGCAGTGGTAAAGTAGTAGCGGGAAGTGCAGTAGATTCTCCAAGGTGAGTACATGCACAAAAATAGGATATATGTCCTATTTGTACAATCTTTGTCATGTTGCTCCCTATCACTTGATCTAACAAGGAAATTCTCTGTTTAAATGCTTTGTTGACATGATCGGTAACGTCACTTTAGCTTATGTTATGAATGTAATGTCATATCAGGCAGGAGTGTATGTTTCAACATTCTCCACCACCTCTTAGGGGCAGTGGGGTAGCCTAGTGGTTAAAGTGTTTGATCGTCATGCCGAAGGCCAAGGTTCAATTCCTCATTTGGGTACAATGTGTGAAACCCATTCACTGAACAAATGTATCTGTTCTCAAGGTTTGTGAGAAATTAAATCCCCAACTGTTAACTCTGTAATCACTCTGTAATATCCTTGTTGGACGCTTTTCCACCACAGAAACTTTTGACCCTACTCCCAGATATGCTTTATGCATGTATGAAGAAGGGAGAGCATTCTCAACTATTCTAAGAAGCACTTTCACCAGTAAAACAATTGTTTGGAGACTGTATTTGTGCATGTATGGTACAATATATGTACTGAGATGTCAGGTGACATACTTTATGGACACTTGAAAAAATATGTCATCTACAATGCAAAAGACAACTGAAATGCCTAATAATTATTTTAAATTTTCCTTTGGCATTTTCACTGTCACCAAAATCGTAAACCAGGAAGTATAAATGTACTTCGCCTCATCGAGTACATTGGTAGACAAAGCGTGTATCCCATTGCCTTGTCACTTATGTGATACATCAGTCTCGTATTAAGCAACATTCTCAGAATAAGTCCTGTTTCCTATCATGTTTTACAGAATGAAAAGGATGAGCCGTGGAGGCACCATGGCCTCCCAGCACAGCATGAAGATACCTGTGTCTTGAACATACTGATGTGAAGAGACTAGCAAGTAGAAAGATGTCTAGTCACCACCCTGTGCATTTACCTTACAACTTGGAGTCTGCTCTGTGTGACAGTCTAATACATCACAGGGCAGGTTCATGCTGGCTAGACGGACTCAGTGATAGACAAGACTTTGGTCGTCAAGTGCTTGTGATGAAACCTTGTCACCGGTAATGGACAGCCATGAGGCTGTATTCATTTTGTCTCATCTTTTGGCTTTTATTTCCTGTGGAGTCTGAATGGAAGAGATTCGAGAGTTGTGCATGAAGGAGGACTGATCATGCAGGATTTGACTGATACAGACTGAGGACAGGAACTCAACAGTCTTTCAGATCTTAAAGTTTCCAGGATTCTTCGTGTAAAGTTGCATAGGTCGCAATTAACATTTTAATATTTAGATGTCTATGTGTCCTTAATTTTTAGTGTCCACTTCGGTTGAAGTACTTTAGTATCATGCACTGGATGATTTGCAATGTTCTTCCATGAAGTCTGGCAAAACAGTGATTGTAATTATCTATGAATGTGTCCAACTTCACAGTGTAATGGTTATGGGGCTAATGAAACAGTAATGATTTGTGATATGGCTAGTGTAGTTAGACTGTGAATTACGTCGTCCTTAACTTCTCTCTTGAGATACTTGCATTAACTACATTGTATACATGCGTATTTATTTTTTTTTTAAATTCCCATTTGTACGAACTTAATATTTTCCAAATCACAAACTGCCCTGCAGTTTTATATTGTGACCACGTAAACCATTAGAATCTCTGGTTATTGATTGTCCATTCAGCAGTTCAGAGAAGAGAGGATTAGTTCAATGTGACACTCTGTCCCATTACCCTTAAAGTGATAGGAGGTGAGGTGAGGTGAAATTGGGTTTTACGTCGTGCTTGAGAATATTTCGCTCATATGACGACTAAAGTGATAGGAACTTCAAGAAAAGAAGGTCTGTAATGACAGAGGTTTGTTTTGTGTACATGTGGAATCATTTCTTATGGTCCATCTCAACATTCATATTGCAGCTTTGTTGTAATGTCATTAATGATGATACTTTACTGCTAGTTCACATGGCCTTTTTGATTATTTAACTTGATACACTGTGCATCAGATGTTAAGGGATTGATTATTTGATGAACAATTATTTTTTTTATCTGAACCTCATAATAAATATGTGGACCAAGTATGAACATATGAGTGTATTCATTTAACATTTGGATGTTGCTTTGAAGTAGATATTGAAAAAATATATATTAGCTTTAATCAAGCCCTGCTCCAGAGATATGTGATAGCATGTACACAATACTTGTAACCTGACTGTAAATTTCAGGAGTTCATTTATACCATACACTTCCTAATTACTCTGCTAGTCTGACAGAAACCCATGAAGTAGGCAAGTACACATGTAACCTTTATATGCGTCAAGTTAATTATTAAGCTGAATGGTGAATGTACAGCCACTGTGAAGAACACTGCCAAAATATGTATATGTATATAAGATACGTGTATCCTTGTTTCACCAAGGAATGCTGGGTCGGATGATGTTTCTGTATATTATGTGAGAATGGTCAATGGGGTCTGTTTCTCTTTAACAATTTGCTCTACAACCTACATCCTGGGATGCTTTGGATAATGTTGAAATAGGTAATCCCTGAATGGCTTCATCTTTTTAAAAAAGAACTAAACTAGTTGAGGGTTGAGAAGTTTTATCATGTTATAGTGCTGATTGAAAAACAGGAGCATTCTGGTAATGCACCTGTGTACATGTAAGAACTTCAACATTAAGAAACTGCTAATATTGTTGGGTTGTCATTGATCAGAAATTTAGTATTGATATATCAACTCAAGTATCATTATATATTGATTGATAAAACAATTCTTTGTTCTGTTTGTGAATGGATAGACAATTCCTTTATGATCGTGAAATTAATCAACTTCAGACTGGATGGAAACTTTGATGTTTCTATAAATGGTTAAAATTGAATTTTCTGTCTTTTTGTTATCCATCTTAATAAAGGTAATCTTTAACAAATGTTAACATTTCTGTGGCAGTGAATTATTAGGTTAATGTCAATATTCGAAAACTTCCGTCAATACAGTATTGACATTAAAAAAATATTAGTACGGACATATAGTGATATACTATGACATCTCTACTATACTGTATATACAATATACTATTTATTTGGTTTTAAGGCCACACATAACATAATCCTGTACTAACCATGCTAACTATCACTCATAACAGTAATTTATTTGTAAATGTCATTAGTTTTATCATTCTCCACTTTAGTCAGATCAGATCATATCATTTTGTTTCGTAAGATTCAAATCAGGTTCTCCTTTACAAATTCAGTTTTACCATTGCATCTTTGTATGATTCAAGCAGTGTGTTCTTGCATGTTGGTTTTGCCAGACTTCATGATTCTAGAAACCCCAGGGTATTGATGTGTCTATGCAGGAAGACACAGACGTTGTGTGCATCCCCTAAGCTTCCTTGATGTGTGTAGTGACAGAAGATGTTGTTGCAACAATTTTGTATCCTCAACACATGCATGAGGTCTGTTTGATCCAGGAGTGTGTAGCTGTTGTATATATTGTCACTATCAATGAAGCAGGAGAAATTGGGAATGGAAAAGTGATCCTGCTGGTCAAATCAATATTGATATGGTCACATTCAGGAAAGTGATCTTAAATGACCTGCATGTCAGTGGTCATAATAAAGCTGCTTGATATTTGTTTGTTTGAATTATGAGATCAGCAAGATGTAAATTGATTGAAAGTTTTGTCTTTTGATTTCATTGTTAATGATATTGCTCACGTTCATTACTTTTCCAGTCCTTATTTCTTGGAGATTATCTTTTGTTATAATGTGTCCAAGTCATTCCACTATCACGGGCAAAGAATGTTTACAATGGTGCTCAGGGTTTTATCTTTCCCCTCTTGGACAGTCTATTGTCTCAACAGGACTGTTACCAGGTTCCTCATTAGACGAAGAATTGTGAAAGTAAGCAGTCAAAAGAATATCAACTTTTTAGAAAAATACTTGAGAGAAATGCCAAATTCCTTTCAAATCAAAACATTCTGAGAAGTATATTTCTTTTTGTTTTCCTTTCTTATGTGCATTTGAAGCAAAAGATTCTTGATTCCACATGCAAGTCATGAAAGACATTAATGCAAGTAACAATCATTTCATTCTTTGAGAAATCCAAGAGACATTAATACTCAGTAGATAGTTCCTAGCAGTAACTTACCTGCCTTTTGAAATCATTGCCTTCATGATAGAATTGCTCTTGCTATCATTGGCAAGACAATGTCCACAAAGCATCCTTACTGACTGGAAATATGCTTCTTGATTTAATTAGCATATTAATTGCTGCAAAGTATTTCAATCATGTGGGTCAAACGAGTCCTATACATGTATATAGTACACATGGGCAGATCCAGGAATTTTGAAAGGGGTGGGGTGGGGGGCTTCGAACCCCCTGAACCCCTCATTGGCTCCGCCAACGCAAAAAAACAACAAACTTCAATGTGGTCTTAAGTCATTTTCAAATCTCTGGATCCGCCACTGCTACATCATCTGTGCAGAAGACCTTGGTGCCACTGTACGTCTTTTCATGGTGCCCAATCTTGATGTGGGTGCAAACGAAATGCTGATTTGGCATAAAACCTCCTGCTTAGTCAGTACACAAGCCTGCAGGGAGGAGAATTTTATGGTCACAGTATCGCCACACTTACCCATCTTGGCTGATGATGCAGTGATATTCAAACTGGCAACATTTTATCTGCATTGGACCAAATTCATGCATTTGATTCTATCACTTCCTGTCAAAGCAGCACTTCAATAAAAGTAACCTTGACCCTAAGCGGACAGGGACCCAAAGGCATACATTATGGCTGTCGTAGTATTCAGTTTGATTCAGCAATGTTTGTCACATCTTCATCTACCTCATTTGATGTTTGGCATGCTTTTTTTTTCAGTTCCTTTATGAATACAGGCAATAACATAAAGGCTGATACTAATTCCATAGCACATAACTTTGAACTTCACCTAAACCCTTGTTTTGTAGTGTGCTCAATATACTACCAATGGCCCTATTGTGTGTATATGTTGGTGCCCCTTCATCTGACAGTTATTTGCAGTTAAAATTAGAAACATATTAAGTTTACATATAATCACATAAGAATACACCAATATTGACTCAATCTCATTAAGATCTGATCTTAGTTCTTGCCACTGCTACACAAAACTGTGTGAGTGAGCACAAAGGAGTTTCACGAGATTGATATGACTTGTACTAATTCAGAGATATTTTCTAACCACTTAAGCATGAAGTGCTATTTTCATTAAATGTCGTGGACGTCTGTAAATGGAATTGTAAAATATGTCAGTGTATATTTTGTTGGATGTGTGGGCAAAACATGACTTATGTGTGTTGTTTTGAAATAGGAGTTAGCAGGTAGGCTTGGTTGCTAACCAGGCATTGTGTAGAGCATATAGTAACACAATACATTTCCATTCTGTCACAGCCTTAGTCTGTGCAACATTATTGTTTCTTTAGTCATATCCTGGATCAAATGGATCTATTACAGACTTTCATAGCCACAACCAAAGTCATGGCTGATTGATGTATTTTCTTTGTGCTTGTATATATACCTGTCTATATATATCTGGTTGTAGCCACTCCATGGAGTGTAGTTTTGTTGATGTGCTGTTGACATCATCTTTCAGCATCAACTCTCTTTGATATGCATGAAGTCAGCACAAGCTTCTGTCAGCCACGAGTTCAGCCAACATCACACCAGTCTGTAAACTGTACTCAAACTGCTGGATCATTTAAAGATGCTCTTAAATAATAAATACATAACCTGACATGATGTGTTTTTGTTTTTACTGATGAGATACATATTTCATATGAAATAACTAATTTTAGGTGAATTATGTTTACCTTTTAACTTGAGGTGTTTTGAAAAATAAGGAAATCCATTATATATCTCTTCATATTCCAGTTGAAGATATAAGAACAACAGTAACTTGAAAGGACATGCCCACAATTGAAACTTATCAGAGTGGTACAAAGATGGGCTCTGTAAGTAAACACCTATTGAACGGTTATGATTCACCATAAATATAAATTCTTGTAGTTGCTTGCTTTCAAAGATACCAGGGACTGGAAGGAAAATGAACTGTGGCATGCCAGGAACCAATGACACTGGACTCTAGTCCGGGTTTGCAGCAATACTATTTCTAAGCTTGTAAGCATGATACATGTACTCATGGATTTCACCAAAATGGTAAATAAATGTCCGCATCTCTTCAGGCCTTCCTCTGTCATGACGCTGATATGACATACCGTATGTGGAATACGGTTCAAAGCAGTATTAATCTCACTCACTCCACAAGCACACTTCAAGCTTGAGAAAGTGTGTGGATAATTGATTTGTCAGACAAAAGATAGAGAAGGCAATGATTAAAAATGTTTATTCAATCACTTACATGTAACACAATGCTGATCAACAGCTCCCTCGAGCTAAATGATGAAAATATTGCCGTGACGATGGAGAAATTACAAATATTGATTGTGTCAAAGTTTTAAAGTCCCCAAAATATTTTACTCACATGAAAACGATACAAGAACCTGTTTCGAAACGTCGTGCTCTAGAATAAAAGAAGTTGTCATTCTATCTATTTTACTCAAAAGTCCTGAATACAAATAATTATCATCTTGTTCAGTTCCTCCTTTTTTTAACAGAAATTATCATGTCAATGATCAATTTCATTTGAGAGGCAAACAATATTACACATTATCTTTACCAAATATATCTATATATTAGTTATTTTATTACCAACCTCAAATCCCTTGACCTGTGAAGAACTGCTTTTACATCTAAAAACATAGATTGAAAACCTGTGACCATTATTCTGTTTATACAATTCCATATCATTGATAGCAATTGACCCTATTATATGGCATCCTGGATAACTTTGCCAAAAACATCAAACTTGGACTGTTGTGCTGTAATGTAGCCCCCAATATGCACAATGTATTATCGTAAAAAGTGTTTCTAGACGAACTTGTCACCAAGTTCCAATATTTCAATGATGATCAAAACACATGAAACATAACAGTACAAAACATTTCATCAAAACCAACACTCATCATATTGCATGCACAAATAGATTTCTCATAAATCATTTTCAACAAAACAAAATATACATGACATACTCATGCAAGATATACACAGATTCCTTAGAGTATCTTCAACTTTCAAAACAATGACTTTCCTTGAAACAAAATCTTCATAACATTTGAAATCAACAGTTTTGATTATCCTTTTGTCCAGTTACTGAAGTACTACAGAAAACATGCTTCAATTATGAACATAAAACATGAATCATAATATACTAATAAATAATTGGTAAAGAAATCAACAAAACATTAGAAAACGATGAACAGCATAAGTAAAGTGAACTCATGGAAGATACACAAGTTGCAGAGATGTTAATTTATTAAGTGTATCTGCACGTGATGCACGACAACTCCAATTCATGCTGTTCTGCGTGTGAAACCTCAATTCTACTTGCAAACAGTTGAAATTGAAAAGTTTTAGTCCACAAGAAATTATCACTTAACACTTTCTGAAATTTCCACGTCTTTGCTTCAATTTCAGGCACAGCCCTGAATACCAACAAACCTGAATACGAGGAATAACGACAGATCTGGCCCAATGTGAAAGCGTAAAGGTTTCACTCCAGTTTGAATAGTAGTCTCCAAATCCTATGTACATCAGTTATTTATTTACCTATCAACACATTTAACAAGCCAAGACATAAGGTGGAAGGGTTTTACCTTTGACCCCATCTGGCAAAACCTTAGCACTCAACATTTGAAGACATCTTCTCTTCAGATTCATAGATTTCTGTCAGCAGGAACATTCTATAACCAATCTATACTACAAACAAAACCTTTAACGATCTTTCAAGTTGACATTAATTTTAACAGCATGAATGGTATTTACTCTGAAATCAAACAAAACACACACAAATAGATTGGCTTGACACCAAAATGGCCCTGTCATGGGGATGGGTTCCGTACATTTTGCATAAGACAGATAAGAAATCCTGATTTCTTCAAAACATTTTTGCTTGGATGTCTGTTCCAGCATTCAGCTCAAGAGTTTTCAGTAATAAATTGACTTCAAATTAAACCTGGCAACACATAAATTTAACAATACTGATTCTGCCTAAAGATATTAAAACAAAATACATAAAAATAGTTTCTATTTGCCTAATTAACTTAAAGCACATGTTAGCAAATCTAAAATACTAAAATCTTCATCATGTGTGTGTATCTCAGTGATGCTAGTATTGATGCCCATATTCATGGTCCCCTTCAATGGGGTAAGGACACCAGACTTGTGCAGCTAATTGCCCTCTATATGTCAAAGTGGTTCTTGTACAGTTATCACATTGTCCCACAACACACACAGAGGACTAAACCACGCCACTTGTATCGTGCATGTATGTCCTCCACTCCTAAAGCAATACCAAACTATTGACATGATCAGAGACTAGATGTACACAGTACAGAACTCTATATGCAGCTGTCAAGGTAAATCAGAAAAATAAGTCACAATAAATTATTAACATGTACATAACATGTAACTTTCAGGGTTGATTTCAGCAAATGACACTCAAAATTATTGAATACATTTCCCCTGAGACTGATTACATATTCTGAAATTTGTTTAAAACATAATTTAAAAATAAACCTAAAATAGATTTTATCATGTTAAAGTTTGATTTCAATCATTACAGTAGTACTTTTGTTTAATAAAGGAAAGATATTTAATGGATGACAGTTGTTTGTTACAGTTCCTATATTATTACTAATCAACTTCTAAAATGCCAGTCGAAGATATTGTAAATTTGTCTTTTGGTCAAGGCGATTTTTACTGTCATTAGTACTAAATAAGCATAGTCGTTTTACTTTTATGTTTTCCCCTGAATATGGGTTGACATAATAGAGAATTCCCTCTTTGGGGAAAGCCATAAGCAGAATAAGAATCATAGTAAGGTCGACTCCAAAAGTCAGTTTCACAAAGCTCTCGTAAGCCTAAGATCTCGTAACTTTTCTCGTAGCAAACGTACCTCCTATGCATAGACTTACAACAGTCATAGCGCTACGAGAGCTTTGTGAAACGGGGCCCAGATCTGCACCAATGACCAGCAAATCCTGGCATGGTCAAGGGGTGCAACTCTGTAAAGCAAACTGCAGCACCTTGAACAATGGATCAACTTGTTCGCTGCTCTAAACATCATCATCAAAGACCAAACTGTATCTTCTATATATTATATACATATAAACTTACACTAATATTAACTTTACTTTATTTCGAGGAATTTAACAGGAGTGTTGTTTTTGAAACATTTCATTATTTTGAAAAAATTACATCTATATGGACTTGCAATTAAAACAGCTATTGCACACTCAGCCAATCCTGAACTTAAACTTGTAAATGACTGGACATAAGTCAAACATCCATGACAAACCCTACAGCATTATGGAGGTCTTTTGTAAAATTGAAATAAATAGCTAAGAAATACTTTAAAAACAAGCGGTCATAGGAAACATATAAAAACACAGAGGTCGATAAACACTGGCAGGAATAAGGATGAGATTCAAGATGAGATACTTCCTTCTGTTGGCCATATCTCCATTATCACTAGTTAGCATTAACTGGGGTGTTGTTATTTCTGTGACAAGTCTACATATGTACAGATGCATGAAAACATTCCATCGTCTGAATGGTGATAAGATATAAGGACAGTCACTAAAATGCCTCAAATTCCATTATTCTCTGGGAGACTTAAAAGTAGATAAACAGACCCTTGCTAGTACCATGTTTAATCCCTGTTTAATTACAAATGTTCAGGTGCACAAATCTAATTTTACTTTTTTTCCAATCAACCACGAATACAACAGTATGTGGTGTCAATATTGTTAAAGCTCTTCAGTTGTGACTTGCAGGTCAACTGCATCAAAATGTTGCTTTGATAAAATGATAGCAATCATCATTAAATATATAAGGAACGTTTCTTTGGAGAGTCGTAAACATTATGTTAATCACATCTTCATGTCAAGTAAAAGACATTGTGCTCATTGCAATTAGTGTCCCGAGCAATAAGAATATGAAATATTAAGTAGTAGGATATTGTTTGATGAAGACAATGCCCTGATATAACTCCTGTGGTTGGACAGCACACTATTTACACTGAATCTATCCATGTCCTTCATATGAAAACTGTCTAGAGCACTGATAAAATTGGTCACCATTCAGCATCCCAAGGCCAGACTACAATATAAACAAATGGCTATGGAAACACTCAATAAAACCATGCCCCCTTCGTCCACATACCTCATACATGACATGTTGTACATGTGTTGTACTTTTACAGACAAGTGTTGTACATGATTAGATAATTGTTTTACATGTGTTGTACTTTTACAGGCAAGTGTTGTACATGATTAGATAATTGATGTACATGTGTTGTACTTTTACAGACAAGTGTTGTACATGATTAGATAATTGTTTTACATGTGTTGTACTTTTACAGACAAGTGTTGTACATGATTAGATAATTGTTTTACATGTGTTGTACTTTTACAGGCAAGTGTTGTACATGATTAGATAATTGATGTACATGTGTTGTACTTTTACAGACAAGTGTTGCACATAATTAGATAATTGTTGTACATGTGTTGTACTTTTACAGACAAGTGTTGTACATGATTAGATAATTGTTTTACATGTGTTGTACTTTTACAGACAAGTGTTGTACATGATTAGATAATTGTTTTACATGTGTTGTACTTTTACAGACAAGTGTTGTACATGATTAGATAATTGTTTTACATGTGTTGTACTTTTACAGACAAGTGTTGTACATGATTAGATAATTGTTTTACATGTGTTATACTTTTACAGACAAGTGTTGTACATGATTAGATAATTGTTTTACATGTGTTGTACTTTTACAGGCAAGTGTTGTACATAATTAGATAATTGTTGTACATGTGTTGTACTTTTACAAACAAGTGTTGCACATAATTAGATAATTGTTGTACATGTTGTACTTTTACAGACAAGTGTTGTACATGATTAGATAATTGTTGTACATGTGTTGTACTTTTACAGGCAAGTGTTACACATAATTAGATAATTGATGTACATGTTTTGTACTTTTACAGACAAGTGTTGCACAGTTCTGGGTATTGGGTCATCATTCATGGGGTATCAAGTATTGACACAGAAGGAATGGGTACTGAGGAGTGGGTATCATGTATGAACCACTGGATGGCATGAATCCGACACAGATATCATGTCTAGGGCAAAGGACATCAAGTCAGAAACACAGGAATATGGTCCACTGCACATCATATTGGCATTGGCTATTTTGTCTGGGGCAGTGTATATCATGTATGGGACACAGAATATAATGTATGTGAGTGAGTGAGTGAGTTGGGTTTTACGCCGCCTTTAGGAATATTCAAGCAATATCACGGTGGGGGACACCAGAAATGGGCTTCACACATTGTACCCATGTGGGAACCCGGGTCTTCGGAGTGACGAGCGAATGCTTTAACCACTATGCTATCCCACTGCCCCTATCATGTAAGGAGCACAGGATATCATGTATGTATTTGGAAAATGTTGACAATTATCTGCACCAAGGTGGAACAAACACAGTGTGGACAAAGGAGGCCTCTTTCAATGACCGAATGAGTTCACCAGACAAAGTTAATTAAACAAAACATGCCTCACAGTAGCTGAGAAACATTCAGATTAGCACTATCCTCTCTACTGGGTATCATCTGCTCTATGTACCTACAGATTATGTACACTATGTACTACCATCAGAATACACCTCAACAGACCTACACTTCTACAGAGTATGCACACACACACACACACACACACTACACTGGAAGTCTACAGTCACTCCACTTGCGATAGGAAATAGTTAAGCTGTATGCATGATTATGTTTGGCATGTTGATGTGTCCACAAAATTATATATTTTGCAAATAGCATAAGTCCAAGTTGGTACAGTAGTTCACTTGGCTTTTCATTTCATAATTTCTCTTTAAAATGCAGTCAGTAGCTCACATCAGCATCTGCAATTTCTAAAGTAGTCTTGGAAACGTGCTTGAGTATATATTGTTCTCCAGCAAGCTGTTTTCATAATATGCAAAAGAAGTGCTACCTTTCTAATAGTTTTCCTTATCACACAATAGTTCTAACAGATTTGCTTATAGCACAAATTTACATTGTTCATACAAACATGGATTTTAGAATTTGCTGGATGGGTCTTCGTAATACTGCTGCAAGGCATCTCAGGAGAAAACTGCACTTGAATTTATTCACTGTAGAAGAATAAAAACTGGATCATAATAAATTGTGCTATTGCACTGGTGATTGTGACACAAAGCCAGACAGTGAGGGTTAAAATGTTATTATTTTTACATTGTATCCAAGAAGGAATCAAGCTTTTGAAACTTGATTCTTCAGAACACTGTGTAATGTTGCCAAACTTAGAAGAGCATGAAACATTCTCTACGACAGCCTATGACCTCACAGGCAATGGCTGCAAAGACAAAAACACAAGTGAGATCAGCAGTCAAGACTATTGTATATATTTGTGGAGTCCATGACCTCTGATGACACATGCAGCAGAACTGGCTACCATCAAAAACAGCTGAACTTTGGTCATCATCAATACTTCACACATAACGTTTCTTCATCACTTGTGAAAACATACGGCTTTTGTCGAGTAGTACAGACTCATGCTTATTTTCAGTCTGTTAATGAAATTGCCAGGATGTTTAGAGTTCATAGAAGTCAAACAATCCGTACTCCTTGCATGTACCAAGCTTCCTTTAATTAAAACGACCAATGTTGCACAAGGAAAATGTCCGCTTGTGAGATGTAAACTGAGATCTCATTGGTCAATTTTCCCTCTGAACCAGACATAGACAGACTCAACTACACCACAGCGCAGCCTTGTGCATTCACAGGTGATGGGGAAATCAAGTGAAGGGTTGACATTCAACTATCTGTCCGTGAAGGCAGATACAACACACCCCAGCCACTATGTAGAGTTATTAGAAAGAACTACTCATCACTAAATACTGTTGGGAAGCCTATGAGATTCCTGATGCTAAGACTACCACATGACTGCACTCCTCTTGACTAGCTCAGTGTGAATACTTGGAGCGTCCAGTCACTGAAAGTGTTCGGAGATCAGAAATGTGGCAGACAGACTTTACTGGCGAAGAGCTGTGAGACCACAGTGATCCACAGGGCAAGGACAAAGAAGATGTAGGATATTCCGACCCGGAAGTTGTTAGGAAGCTGGTAGGCCTCCCCTCCGATCTGATCCATGTCAAATCCTATAGGGAAGATCACAGCCGCCAGGCAAAACAGAATCACTACAACAGAAACACAAGGTGCATTAGATCTTACAGCAACCACAGGTACAGAAGCTTTTATTCAGGGATAGTGACAGCTTTAGATGCCACTAGGAACAGTATTCCAGTAATTTCATGACATCTAAGCTTAAAGGGACTGAGAATGAGTGATTGAATTTGAGTCTTAAGATTCTTTTAGCAATATTCCAGCAATATTATGGCGGGGGACACCAGAAAAGAGCATTACACATTGTGACCATGTGGTGAATTGAACCTGGGGGTTCAGCACAACAAGCTAACGCTTTACCCACTACCCTTATTGGGAGATGGGGCGGTGGGGTAGCCTAGAGGGAAAGCGTTCCCTCGTCATGCCAAAGACCTGACTTTGATTCCCCACATGGGTACAATGTGTGAAGCCCTTTTCTGGTGTCCCTCGCCGTGATATTGCTAGCATATTGCTAAAAGCGGCATAAAACTAAACTCATTATTGGGAGAAGAAAACCAGATGTGATGCAAGTCTGAGACATTACCATTTGTAGAAACCCATGTTGATGGGTGTGGTGCTGACAACCCTAGAAACGTGAACCAGGACTCAACGCATGATCATAGGTGTCTGACATGCCCAAGGGAGGCAACTCAGCACAACACATCTCAAGGAACCCATCTTGGTCCAAGGAACACACCATATGTTTTGTCCATTTATAATATGAGATCCTGGTTAGTGACCACACTACTGTGAGATTAAAAAGATAAGACTATAAGTATCACCCTGTCTGGCTTGGATATATTCAACTGAGCATACATCACTTAGATACATGAAACTCAAGATTAAGTACAAATTCATAAACATTCATGTTGGTGATCACACATAACAAATTGAATTCATGAAGGGATATGGTTAACAGACGGTATGGTATACATATATGCAACATCACATACCAAGATCTTGATACCGTTTTTAAAAAAAAAGAAGATTTTCCGGATGTGACCTACTTGCAACAAAGCCGAGCCAGCGGGCAAACTTCATGACCCTGTACTCCCAGTAGGAGACCCCGAGAAGCACTATAGTAACACTGATACACAGGATACCCATCACAATGCAGATAAATGTCAGTAGCCACTCTCCTCGCACCGGGTCCGGCGTGAAGCAGATTGTCGGGCGGCCATAGATGGTCAGGCATGTCTGTAGCAAACCGATATATGTGTCTCCTGAAAGAGAAAGTGTCAGCTGTAATGTTTATGTCTTGGGGAACAAATACAGCAGAGGTCATTAAACTGGTGCATAGGTTGATCTTGACAGCCCAAACAATGAGTGAGTGAGTTAGTTTTACGCCGCACTCCGCAATATTCCAGCTACATGGTGGCGGTCTGTAAGTAATCAAGTCTGGACCAGAAAATCCAATGATCAACAGCATGAGCATCAATCTATGCAATTGGGATACGATGATGTGTCAACCAAGTCAGCAAGCCTGACCACCCGATACCATTAGTCAATTTTTACGACAAGCATGGGTTACTGAAGATCAATTCTAACCCGGATCTTCACAGGATCCAAACAAGTAATGTGCTACTAGAATTACCAGTAACAGAAGTGAAGACAGCTTTGTACAGGGTAGGGGTGAAAAATAACAGTAAGCTCACGATATGATATGTATCATAACTGATCATAATACATAGATCAGCATATGACATGTACTGTGATACACATATTCACATCAAATCACATAAAACTTTAGACAATATATACCGGTATTTCTGAGCAGGTTACAAAGGAAAAGCTAGCTACAGACACATGATAGTTGTGTGGATTTCAAGTAGAAAACTAGAAAAGCTGATTACAATTCAGTTGTTATATCTGACGGACAAAAATGGCATGGGGAGTGTCATTAGTGAGGAGGAAGTAGTTGATAGCAATTGTATCATGTTGTATTAATACAAACAAATCATTGTTTCTTATCATTGTATGAAAACTCACAATACCTGGTGCACTGTTTCACCTCTAGTAATGGGTACCACATATATACCTGGTGCACTGTTTCACCTCTAGTAATGGGTACCACATATATACCTGGTGCACTGTTTCACCTCTAGTAATGGGTACCACATATATGTACCTGGTGCACTGTTTCACCTCTAGTAATGGGTACCACATATATATACCTAGTGCACTGTTTCATCTCTAGTAATGGCTACCACATATATACCTGGTACACTGTTTCACCTCTAGTAATGGGTACCACATATATACCTGGTGCACTGTTTCACCTCTAGTAATGGGTACCACACATATATATGTACCTGGGTACCACATATATACCTGGTGCGGTTTCACCTCTAATAATGGGTACCACATATATATACCTGGTGCACTGTTTCACCTCTAGTAATGGGTACCATATATATACCTGCACTGCACTTTTCACCTCTAGTAATGGGTACCTCATATATATACCTGGTGCACTGTTTCACCCCTAGTAATGGGTACCACATATATATACCTGGTGCACAGTTTCACCTCTAGTAATGGGTACCTCATATATATATACCTGGTGCACTGTTTCACCTCTGGTAATGGGTACCACATATATGTACCTGGTGCACTGTTTCACCTCTAGTAATGGGTAAAACACATATGTACCCCCGACACTTTTCTTCACACAGAAATATATCCATACTAAATCTAGACTACATTACATGTGTCCTAGCTCTGCATAATTTTAAGGGTTCATTCAACAAAACCGATGAGAAAGTCAGCATTATACAAGTTCTTAAACATGTTAAAGGAATAGGTTTTATGCATTGTTGACATCAAGCACGATGACATCATTCATACTTCATGATGTCACAAATATATAACATAAGTCACCAGAAGAATTAAAACATGAAATCCATTCAGCATATTCAGTCAAATTTCTTTTTAAATTGAATGTGATTTTCTTCTAGTTTATGCCAACACGACCAAATCAAAATTAGTGGATAGAATATAAAACATGTATTTAGAGAGCAATGTCTCTTTTAATGTTTAAGAAAGTTAAAAACAACATAACTGGAAATAACGACATAGCAGATACAGGTATCACTGGTACTTTAGTATCCTCTTATCACTTCTTTGAGTGGCGTTTTAGAAGCTGGGAAGTACAAAATTGACAAACTTTATGGATAACAACTTCTTTATTACGAGAGTGCGACATCACCTCTAAGCCCATCCTGTTGTGTTAATTACCTTGTTATCTTGTTTTTGTTGTTACACTCAGAATATATACTTTGCCACAATGTATGTTACATTCCTGCTTGACAACGGTACAAAAGTCACACTCTCGTAATAAAGAAGTTGTTATCCATAAAGTTTGTCAATTTTCTCTTATACACTGTTAGTTGTTTCTGGAACCTGTACAGATCAAGGCCATAAGCTGTATACAAAAGAATCATTTTCATAACCAGCTTACTTCCATACTTTAATTCAGGTTTTGTTTTGTTACCATGACGATGACCAACTGATCTCACACAACAGAGGCAAAACATAACTTATATACAAAGATCTCAAAATATCAGTTATAATAAGATGTACAACATATTTATAGCAAATCCAAGAAATTGCTTGCAGAAGTTGTCATAGTGGAATATTGAGGTTCATATCGGAAAAAGTAAAGGTACTTATGTGTCATATCTCCTGATAATGAAACATGCTACAGGTATACAAACGTTGATAAGGGAACATGACATGTTAATCCATTTACCCCTGTAGTTAAGCACACTCAACTATATTCTCATAAGTTTCATGTAATTGGCTCTAACATCAATCATGCATGACATCTGGGCTGTGTTATCAGTCCATTCAAGTCTTTGAAGCTTGCATATTACTTGCACAAAATTTAATCTCTGGGTTTAGTCTAGCCTTGAACACCATTTCAGATTATCACTGTTTTTGTGTAGAACTGGAATTTAAGATGGAAGTGACACATTTTTTAGATGTCTGCCACTTTGGTCAACCAAGAAATATTGTTTGTAAGTTGCCCACATTGAAATATTCTAGGCATACAGTTATTTCCTGCTGTAAATAATCGAGTCTTGGCCAGATAATCCAGTGATTGATCTTGTAAGCCATGAACAAAAGGACACAATATCAACTGTCCCGAGTCCTAATCCATTTGGTTGTTGCCTAAGACCAGCATCGGTTGCTGGAGACATATTCTAACCTAAACTCCCGACTTGTGTGACAAGTATTGATATCATGCTGACAGACCGAGGACGATACAAGAAGATATCTGGCAATGAACCCATGATCAGCCATCCTGGTGCACTAAAGGGGTGCAACTCACCACAGCAAGATGTTTCCACCATTATACCACCATAACGACTTGGCTAATTTACAGAAGTTTAATGCGAATTATCCATTACTTTGGAGCAATTTATGAATAGAACCTGTCGGAAAAGAGGTATTAAAAGAATAAACAAGATAAACACACTAAATCTTTAAGGCCTACTACGTATCTCTCCATAATATTAGCGAACAAGTAGATTAAATTCGTACAATTAGTTAGAAACTTTTATTCCAATTGCATTATTGTCCACTCTAGTTTCTGGTATTCATCAAATGTCCATTCGGCCACTGCCTGGAACTTGGTGCCATTTTGGCACAATGTGAAGTGTAAACTATCCCAAATGAGACTTGATATGAGAGCAATTTGACATCAATGGTTTATATTATATTCAATCACATATGAAGAAGGATCAATGTCCTGAATGTAGACTTACCGCCGATTTCTGATACTATCCAGTTTGGCATCGCCAAACTTGTGACAGCGAATATATCCGCAGCGAAGAACAATGCGCCCGATATTATGCTCAGTTTATCCATTTCCAACACGGTATCAATGTTGACGCCGGATGTAGTTGAGCACCTACATGTTACATTAGCTATCAATAGCGTGCCACACGCCACATGAAAGATAACACTGCCTTTTTTCCACTGTCATCGTTCGTCGCTCTCCCGTCGGCAGCCATAATGGTCGACAGTGGTTTGTTTACGATCGCCGAGTTACCTCCCCTGATTCTCAGACTCCGAAGACGGATTTCTTCAATACAGAATCTGGACTCCATAAATCAAATTGGTTGGCTGTGTATTTTGACTATACTAATTCTGGTGCTTCGTGTTTGTACTGTATCCAATAATAATAGTATTAACCGTTCATGTGAAAGGGTACATATTCATTTCAAACGATGCTACAATTAAACTGAAAATATACTTTGGTAATACTCAATTACTACGACTTTCTTGAATGCTATGAAATTGAGTATGTAATTTTTGTTAGAATATGTTTTAGTTTTGTTGTTGGATTTTTTGCCAGATTCCATTGTGTTCAGTATCGTGACAATACTAAATACACAATGTGTTTTAAAAACACTTAATTGTACCGCACGTTTATCTTTAGAAAATAACGAAAATAAATAACATGCTAACAGAAGCGGCTTTGACTAACGATGCACGTTTTACACTTTTTGTCTATGTTAGTCAAACAGTGAAACAAAATTTGGCCAAAAGTATATTATACGCATCTTCTACAGTAAGAAAGAAAGCCAGTACCAAAGTGCCGAGAGAAATCATATAATAACGATTTTATTGAATCCTACTGAGGCTATATCTCACCGGATCTGACAAAAACTGTCCACGAAACCTCAACTTCAAGAAAACGAAGTCATTTGTACACAAAGTCGATCGTATATAAAAAGGAAGTGTGTGTGTAAGGTCAAGGCGAATTTTTCTCCGAAAGCTGAAACTTTACAGGGAAGTTAGCCGAGAGACAAGGAAGTGAGATGCGGTAACAGATAAGGTCGAACTAAAACTGGGCGGAAGTGGCGCTATGGCTCTAAAATATATTTAAAAGTATCATTTAAAGTTAGTTCTCCCAATCACGTATGCCTGTATTTCTGCTTGTCAAGTCTCGATTTACTCACCCACGTACAAAACTAAATATTAAAAAGTAATAGTAATATTGAGACAGTCCCAAAATTGAAACACACAAGATCATATTACCAGATGTTTACTTAAAAAAAATGCCCAAACATACTTGAGAGACAAAATATTTCTTATGACTGAGTGAGCATTATTTCAACCACGGTGTCCCGGTACGGGTGCACTGCTGTCTGGACCTGAGAACCCTGTCTCCACTATTTGTATGGTAGAAATCCATCGGTATATCGCACTCTGCTGCAGTAGCGCAAAGTCGCCCACAACCGTAAAATGTGTGATGTCCGTTCAGGACTGTTGCTTCCGAAGAGGCGTAAAATACTCACTCACTCCAGTGTACCAAACACTACGAATGACTTTCATCTGCAAGTGTTGACTGCCCATTGGAGTGGCGAACATATTTAACGGATTTTGAGGATGGGTGTTACTAAAAATAAATATGCATGTAAACATGTACTCAACTGTTTAAAAAAAATGATTAGGTGAATATTTAGAGAATCTCCACAGGGTGTCTTTGATATCCAATCAACGTTATTGTAAACGGTTTTAAATAGTCTGTGAAGGGGTTTTACACATGTTCTAACCAGTGTTGATACATTTGACGTCAAAAGATATAAGGTAGGATCCTACTTGTCCACCATTCTTCCAACTTTGTAAATGGCAATGACCAGTCACCAGTGTGTTGTTTGAATACAGCTTTCTATATAATCAGCTTTAGTGGCTGTAGGATTACGTGATGTCATTTGATTAAGACCCCACGGTCTCGAGAGCATTGTGAGTCATTGTCCAGTCAGTCTAACCCAAGCGATATCATCTTTGAAAGCGAGTTAAAATTATTATTGCATGTAATTACTCAATTACTGATTAACATGTTCTTATGAACATAATCGCTTCTTGCGTATATATTTCGTGCATGTGGTCAAAGGGAGAGCACTCTCCAAGCCTCGTTCCGGTGCACACCTAGCAGCGCATGCGCTTCTCTGAGTTTTGGCAGGTGCAGTGACATCTCCATAGGACAGCATGGCTTATACGCTCAGATTCGGGACGCCAAAGGTAAATTAAGCGAAATCCTTTCATGATAAGAGTGATATGCCCGTGACGCTTTTCATCATGCTTTTGAAATTGTCATTTATGGCAAATATATTCGTGTATATTAAAATCTGCGCCGTAGTGATATGGTAACCGGCACCAGTGAGTTTTGAAGGTCAAGTGTGATAGTTTGGTGGATACAAATGTTTCACTTCGATGATTGCGTTAGTTTTCAACGTTAGAGATGAATATCATGTAAAGGACGACAGAAAATTTTATTCAAAATATGCTCCTAAACATAAAGATCGCACAGGACTGCCCATTGTCTTAACATGTTTCCTGATGTAATCAAATCATCTCAGCCATCTGTTTGTTTACGTTTCCAAAACCATCAAACCATTTTAAGCGTTTGTTTTGTTGTCAACTATATGGAGTGTCATGGCATATAAAATCAGCAGTTAGGTTGCAGATACCATAGAAACAACAGTTTTGCTTGCCTAACAATGTCAGATAAAATGAGATACTTCAGAGCACACTAGGTTCTTTGAATGTTTCCTTCGATGAGTAGGTGACTTATGCATTACAATTCAAAGATTGCTTTCTTGTATTAGGAACTAGGACATGCTATTTATTGTTGAATTCAGCTCCGTTGAAATGTAAATAATTGGTTACAGTTATTAATAGAAACCACCTTTGAATTTGGAGTATTGTAGAACATATTAGAATAATATAATGTAATTAGTTGTCATCTTCTCATCATTCAGGTTATGGGGAATATTAAAGTTGAACCATGGACTGGTGCTGGTGCTTGACGTTGTACTTGCTGAGCAGTTATTTTTATTATCTGGTATAAATGTCATCATGTTCTGTTATCAGTATGTTGCGCAATGAGTGTCGTCATAACTCTTCCTCCATGTCTAGATAGCACAATTAGCAGTAGAGTGGGTTATCATCAAGGTGACTGATGTAACTATGTTCTGTGCACTATATAAACATGCTAAAGCAACATTTCATCCAAAGGAAGCCAGGAACATTCACCTGACAGTACAGACTACATTGACAATTTGACTTTATATACGTTTTCAACAGTTTACTTCAACCTTGAGAACCAATATGGGATTTAGACATAATGGGATAAAAGTATGTATTATGTTTAACAATACCTTAATCATGTGAATGTTCATATATGTTTATGGTGATGGTTAGCCAATGATTTTTGTTAAACAATGCCTGCATGCATAATTTCGTGAAGGCCCTTGGTAAGTACTTGCCTAGCTCCTAAAAAATTTTAGTTAAAATTGTTGAGGCAGTTTTCAAAATTGGTCATTGTAAAAGTCTGCAGCCATGGCATTTGAGTCCAGGGCCCCTAAAATTACTAGTTTAGAACTCTGGAGATATTTCTATATTATGTGGGTTGATGTAGCTGAGTGGGTTAGACGTCTGACTTTGTGTCCTGGCGATTAGGTGCCTGACCCTGAGGGTGACACTCAACCCAACAAAAGTATGAGTACTAGAATCTGTACTTTACTGAGAAAGTGTAGTCCTAAATATGACGTGTTACATTTGACCACTCTCTAAATGGAATTGTGGATTCATAAAAATAAAGCTTACACCTTTAAAAACAGTTGAAAACCGTGTAATAATCTACACCAAAACGTAGCTTTGTGCAATAAACAAGAAGTTGTTATCCTTTATGATGTATGCTTTATTATTGCTTTTATCATGTTTCATTAATGTTATTTCTTTTTCAGGCATGGAACCTGTTATCCGTTGCTGGTCAGGCCAGGCTCATCCATGTCACCCCTGTAGCAAATTATGCTCAGAAGGTAGGATTTGATAAGAGGAACACATTACATACAAAATATCTTCAGTTTTATTGGTCCAGATGTAAATAGAGAACATCATGTACATATAACACTTACATGATCTTATAAGTAGTTATAACTTTAATCATGATAATGGCCTACATTAGAAATATTTTCTATTACAGATTAGGAATTGTTACTGTCCTTTGCTGCATAAGTTAGCCAAAGTATCAGCCTGTTAGTAGGTGTAGGTAAATCCCTGGTTAAATCTTCATTGTCGAAATGGTCTAGTGTTTACACTTGAACGTGTTGATATTCTCCAACAATATCACAACAGGTCATTTCACAATGGTCATAGCTAGTTACTATTCACATTTTCCACCACAATATTCTTAGTAACTGTATTTTGCAATACCTGTTAGACTTAGTCTTCCACATCCCATGCTTGTTGTAGGAGGAATGGTTGGTGGTCAAACTCTCTGTCTTGTTGATGCATGCCATCATATCCCAGTTGTGTAGATCTTTGTGTTGTCTTACATAAAGAAAATAAAGTGATTTTCCATCTCTGTTAATCATGATAATGGAGACATTAAGTATAATTTTGTCATTTTTGATTCAGGTGGCAATGAGCAGAGTGGAGCCAAACAACATGCTTGACTATGACAAGATGGACCATGCCTATGGCATCGTCAAAAGCAGGTCAGTCTCATGGTAGTCCAGTGAAGTTTTTACACATAGCAATCATGGATTTCCTTGGTCAGATACCAAGAGGAATGCTTAATCATCATGCTGATGTGTGATATGAATAAACAGGCTTTGCTTTGGCTATACATTTGAAAAATATGAATCCAAGATTTTTCAGTTGAAACAATTTATGATGTAAAATTATTGAAACAACCTGTTACGGTTAACCATGTTATTCATGTTGATAAATGATGAAAGTTGCACATTTTGTGAAGTGCATGAATTTCAACCGAAAGTTGTCTGTGTATAAGAAAATGTTTTGGGCAGAGGGAGTTTATTCTTAAATGCATGGTGTCAGTCTGCTAGGGCTTGAGCATTGTCATAAGTACACACAAATACTGTTGTGTCAAAGATGAAGGGAAGATGTGAACATATTTTGAGTAATCCGAGGGTTGACACAACCGCAAAATAATGTATAAATAAGGAATATGCAAGGACCAAGCTTTTACTTTGCAACCACATCCATCAAAGTTCAACACAACAAGAGTTTGACTATTTAAGTAGTTCTTCTCGGACTGCAGTTGATTACAGACAGGAAATAATTATTGTTGCATTTAACATCAATGTGTGACAAAATGTGCAGTTTCAATTGTCACATTTATCCTTGATTAGCCCATACTGACAGGTTCTCTCCAAATGGGGGTAATCTAATATCAGTGTTTTTCTCATGATATAGACTGAATCGACCTCTCACTCTTTCGGAGAAGATTCTCTACAGTCATCTTGATGACCCGAAAAACCAGGTGAGCAATTATTATGCTATCTCATGTCCGTAATAATGTTACTGTAATGTAAGATATTTGTATCATGACAAAGCCCTTTGTACAAGTGATGACTGAAGTACCTGGATGTTTGTTTTGCAGGGCATTGAGAGAGGTGAGAGTTACTTGAAGCTGCGACCTGACCGGGTGGCTATGCAGGATGCAACAGCTCAGGTTGGTACTTGTACATCATATACAGTGGAAGCCCCCTAAACCTGCATGCATTGGGACAGGCAAAAAATGCTGGTATAGAGGGCGTGCCGGTTTAGAGAACTTTTCCCTTTTCAACCTGAGAATGATCTTCTGTGTGCCGTAAAATACAACTAAAGAATGTGTTGATAGTCTTTATATTCTGTATTCATCAATAAAGATAACATAAAAAATATACGTATCCAACACAATGTAGGTGTTCAGTGCAGCTTCCAGTACATTTACATTATAATTCATAACTCTGAAGTTTCAAGTCCGAAACTGTTTGCCTGCCAATTTGTACTTAAGCTCAATATCTTTTGGAGAAGGCCAAGGAATTACGTCAAAATATTATATCAGCTGGATTTTCTGTTCAAGAGTTAATTCCAATCTAGCCAGCTTGACTGGTCTAGCCATCATGACACGGTGAGGGACTGACAAATTGTGACACAACAATTTATTTATAATAGAAATGACACTCATCAGTTATCAATTTACCTCACTTACTTATCCATACTTGTTTTATCAGGCAACATCAATGAGCTTAATGTTGATGGTAATCCACTGTGTTGTTAATACACGTTCAGCCAATTAACAGGAGAGCTGAGATACCGGATGCCGATTTAGAGAGCGTTAATTACTGTACAAACAGTCATTTGGGTGGCCTTTGTTGTACAGAAATACGGAATAGACTGACGCTGGATTAGAGAGCGTGTAAATGATAATAAATTAACTAGCTTCTGCCGGGACTAAATTCTAGTGCCGATATTGAGGGCATGCCGGATTGGAGGGCTGCCAGTTTAGAGGGCTTCCACTGTACATAGCGTATGCTGAGATTGTGTTTGATGTTCCTTCATCTTACAGTCCATTAGACACGGGTTAGATAACCTGATTTCAGTATTAAATCCTGGGAAGTCTCAAGCACCTGTATTTTTGAAAAGCCAATACTGAAATATGTTTGTGTTTTATAGTTTGATGGTTTAATTAAGCAGGCTGTGTAAATAGGGATGCATTAAGGTTTTGATCATGTCTCGCTTTGTTTTTGAAACCAGGTGGTGTTTGGACATCATAGGAATGTTACATCATGTGTATATCTTTTATTCCCCAGGGAATTTTTTTCGAAATATGATACATCATATTGACATTACTCAAGCACATCATTATGGTACCTGTTTCTGGAGACATATCCTAAGTTCTATTCAAGTAGTTATTTAAAGTGATTACAGGTCACAGTGACCTTGATATTTCCAATGAGTAGCACATTTCTGTTGTTACTTTGAATTCACCTTGAGACAACATTTTCCACCAGATAACCTTTGTAATGTACTTGAAATACTTGCTACTGACCTTGAAAATCAAATTCACCTTCAAGGTCATACACTAGAAAATGTATTACTTTCACATAACTTGAGTGTTCATTGTTGTAGCAAGACATTTGTTACACACCACCCTTAGTGTTGGGCTTATGATTGGTTAGGTCTTCAGCATCCATCAATTCTTAAGGTAGTTCTGCTTTTTTTGTGCACTGAAACAACCAAAATCTTCTTCATAGAGATCGTCCTTGGGGTACATATTATGCATTTTCCAAACTGAAAATGTCCTGTGACAGTTGTATCAATGTTTTTTTAATAAAAAGATTGTACAATAAATAAACTTTTTTATTTATTATACGGACCCCACCTACGGAGTTACCTCCCGTTGCGCATGCGCACCAACTGGGTAAGCTCCTAGGCCCGTATCATCATTCCTTCTGCTGTCACTGCCGTGAACAGACACGAATGTGCCGTGCAGAGCTGACTTTATCCGAGATAAAGAACATGTCTGAGACAACACCACCTGTATGTATGGTCTTTATTGCCTAATGAAAGGAACAGTAAAGCTTTGCAGTTGGTTGTTTCATATTGTGACTTTGTATTAATTATTTACGCTAACTTTCCCGTGGTTTACGCACACGTTGCTCTGCCATGGCGGGAAGTTTAGCGTGCCAAGTGGTCGTAATATTGCGTATTGAACCAACTATTTTTTCCCATGGTAGCCTTCACGTATTTTTCAATGTTTTCTACGTGTATATATGTTGCTGAGTACGCCGTTAGCTACATGCTTGCGTGTTTGCTTTCAGGCCTTTACCTCCTGTTCGGTCTGTGGACAAAGCATTCCACGGGCCGACAGGCATGACCAATGTGTGGCCTGCCTGGCCATGACGCCGAAGTGTGTACTATCTGTCTTGGGTTTTCCCCGTGCCCAAAGAGGAGGGCAGCTGACACTCTCTTTATAGAGAGATGCGAGAGGCGGAGGGGAACTTACCCAGGTCCCCGTCTAAGACCCAAAAGCGGTCTCGTAAGGGAAAAAATCCCACAGCCAATCCCCTCTCCCGCTACTACTGGTGGGTTTGACATGTCATTGGCGTGACTCAATTATTTCAGCAACATATGGACTCGGTGAAGTCCCTCGTCCATGAGTCTGTTGGAGGGCTCCGGCAGGAGTTCCTCGCTCACTCTGGACGGGGGGCGGAGAGTCAGGGGGTGGGATCGCCGGGCTCGGCTCGATCCCTCAGCCTTGAGGCGTCTGTAGACCCGTTGCCTCTGGCTTTGGGTCCGGACGCCTCGGCTGCCCCGGAGGGGGAGGTGCTCCCAGTTCCCCTCTCGGAGTTGGCGCAGGGACCGTTGAGTATTCCTGGGGTTCCGATCCCTGCGCCCTCCCGCCCCATGAGAGCGGAGGCACCAGTTCTGCCTGGTATGCCTCCAGCGTCTCGGGACCGGGGTCCGTGCACGCTTGCAGGCGCTGACGCGGGGCACTCTGTCTGCTCCTCCCTCTCTGTGGTTCCTAGTGCTAGGCAGCCCACCGGGTCGGGGTTAGGGTCCTCTTTCCGAGGAGACCCAGCCTCTGACTCGGGCTCGGGCGCCAAGTCGATGGATACTGGGGAGGTAGAGGAGCATGACCGTGCCTTCCGTTTCGCTTCAGCTCTGCGGGAGGTCCGGCAAAGGATTGCCGAGTACCTACCCCAGGCCGCGGTGCCTGTTAGCAGCTCGGACTCGGCTGAGTTCCGCTTGCCAGGCGAGGCGTTTGCCCCTAGGCAGCCTACGCAGACGCAGCTCCGCATTCTGCCCTCGTTAGTACAGGACGTGGTGGATCCCCTCTTGTCTGGTTCTCGTCTCCGATTTGACTTGCCGGAGCTTGTCAGGAGATACCAGCTTGGGGAGGATTCCCTGTTCGTGGTACCTATCGTGGACGAGTGTGTTTTTACTTCCGTCGCCCTGGGGGGAGGCTCGGCTTCCTCCGGAGCAGCTCCGGCTGCTCGGCAAGGGCGTGTTACTCCACCGTTTGCCCTCGCGGGCGCCCTCTGCAGCATGCCTACCGTACCTACGAGGAGGTTTACCGGAACGTCATGCAGCAGGTCAGGGTGGTGGTCCATGAGGCCTACCTCTCCTTGATACAGAGGTCGGCCCTGGAGGCGGAGGGGCATGCTGGTGACGTTTCGCCGCATGTCGGGCTGCTCCGTCAGCTATCGGAAGTACAGGCCCACCTCGCTCGCGACTCTTTGCGGTCTGCTGCGTCGACGGTGATGTGCGCAGTCATGGGGATGCGCAAGCTGTGGCTGTCGATGTCTCGGTACTCGGCAGCGACACAGCAGACCTTGCTGGCCCTCCCATTCCGTCTGGGAGCGACCCTCTTTCCAGGGGCACAGCAGGTCATTCGGGAGGCTGCCGCTGCAGCTACCTCCTTCAAGGACTCTAAAGCCTTGTTGGAGAACCCGCGGGTGTCTCGCCCCCGCTCTCCCGTTCCACCTTCCTCCGCCGGGGTGCAGCCTACACCCGAGTCTGCCGGCTGGCTTCGGCCGCTTGGTAGGGGTAGGTGGAGGAACCAAAAGGGTAGGGGCAAGGAGCAGTCCTCGTCGACTAGCTCCCAGCCTTTTCGCGGGCGCGGGAGCTCTGCCCCGACCTCCCGTTAACCCATCAGGCTGTCGCTCAAGCCGTGTGTCACGCCCAGTCAGCTCCGCTACTCGGGACAACGCACGCGCTCCTACCCCATATCACAGTGGGAGGCCGCCTCTCTCTATTCCTGCCGGAATGGGAGAAGGCTACCAACAATGCTTGGGTGCTGTCCACCGTCAGCATCGGCCATTTACCACTGTGGAGGCGAGGTCCGCCCGACTTCACCGGCATACGCCGCACTCCGGTGCCGTCATGTCAGGCAAGGGCGGACATATTGCGTGACGAAGTTCAGGCTCTGCTGGACAAGTCCGCAATCGAAGCGATTCCACCGAGAGGAACAGGCGGGATTTTACTCCACGTACTTCCTCGTCCCGAAGAAAGACGGCGGGTTCCGTCCCATTCTCAACCTCAAGGGGTTGAACCGCATGCTAGAAGTACCATCCTTCAAGATGGAGACACTGCGCTCGGTGATCTCATCTGTTCAGCCCGGCGATTGGCTCACGTCAATCGACCTAAAGGATGCGATTCGTATCTGCATGTGCCCATACATCCATCGTTCAAGCAGTACCTTCCGGTTCTCTTACGACGGGATGTATTACCAATTCAGGGTGCTCCCCTTCCGGCATATCGACTGCCCCAAGGGTGTTCACCAAGCTCATGTTAGTCCGGCTACCCTGGCCGCTTTCGCAAAGGAAGGCGTTGTTACCCTTACCTCGGCGACTGGTTGCTCGGAGCACTAACACAGCCAGCGAAGTCTAGATGCTACTCACACAGTGATAGACATTCTAATTCGACTGGGGTGGATCATCAACCTCAAGAAATCCGACCTGGTACCCACCCAGGACTTGGTTTTCTTGGGCGCGATTCCAAACACACAAGCATCTCGTTTCCTTGTCGCCCGACCGGATCACCAGAGTTCGGGAGATGGTATCTTCGTTCCTCTCCCAGCCCCAGGCACCAGCACGGACTTGGCTCCGTCTACTGGGCCATATGGCGGCGACGATCTCTGTAGTGTGGCGGGCGCGGTTGAGGATGCGCCCTATACAGCAAGCTTTGGCAAGGCTGTGGGCTCACACGGAGGACCTGGAGCGCAGTCTCACAGTCCCCGGGTGGTTGACACCTCACCTTCAGTGGTGGACCAATGTCGGGAATCTCACCAGGGGGATCCCCTTGGAAATCCCGACGCCAGCTCTCACAGTTCAGACCGATGCGTCCCTCACGGGCTGGGGGGGTGTTCTGGGCAGTCTGTCGGTGTCCGGACTCTGGTCCGAAGCCGAAGCCCACCTTCACATCAACGTGTTGGAACTGAGAGCTGTGCGGTTGGTTTTCGAGCGCTTCAGAGAGCATGTCCGTGGCCAGGTAGTCCGTCTTCAGTTGGACAACCAGACGGCCATGTCGTACATCCTGAAGCAGGGCGGCACGGTGTCCCCAGCGCTCCTCCAGGAGGCGTGGGACTTTCTCCTCTGGTGCGACCAGTGCGATTGTCAGGTACTCCCTGTTTATCTCCGGGGCTGGAGAAGCGTCGCGAGCAGACGCGGCTCTCGCCGGATCCTGGCCCCGCTGCAGTGGATGCTCGACAGGCAGATTTTCAGAGTAATCTCCCAGTTATGCGGGTCGTTCCAGGTGGATCTGTTTGCGTCGGTGGGGACGAATCAGACACCGTGTTCTGCTCGAATACGGACCCCAGGGCGTTGGCTGCCGGCGCCTTCCTGCTGGATTGGAGGGGCAAAGTGCTCTGGGGCGTTCCGCCGTTACCACTCATTCCCCGTGTCCTTTCACAGCTGTCCACCCAGCCAGCTCGGCTGCTTGTGCTACTGGCACCGCTTTGGCCGTCACAGAGCTGGTTTCCGGTAATTCTCAGGTTTCTGGCTCAGCCTCCTGTTCTATTACCTTTACGACCCGGACATTCTCACTCAGAGCGGAACGCAGCCCACCCAAATCCATGGATTCAGTGGGTGGCTTGGCCTCTGTCAGGTCTAGCCTCGAGGCACGCTGAATTCCTGCAGCAGTTGCAGACACAATTCTGGCTTCGAGGCGGGGATTCGACAAGCGTTCAGTATGAGGATAGGTGGTCCCGCTATGCGCGGCGCTGGTGTTCAGATAGGGGATTGCAGATCCCTTTTCTGCGGATTTAGTCCAGTATTGGAGTTTCTGCAAGCTCGTTTGGAAGAAGGCCTGGCAGCTTCGACCATTCGTGGCTACTCCACCGCTATTTCCACTTTTCACACCCCTGTCGATGGTGCTCTTCTGGGGCAGCACCCTCTCGTACAGCGCTTTCTCGCTGGCGTGGAGCGGGTCCGACCTGCTCTCAGGCGAACCAGTCCACCTTGGGATTTGTCAATTGTGCTAGATTGGCTGTCCAGTCCAACTTTCTCACACCTATCGGCTATTTCCATTCAGTTGTTAACTTGGAAGGCTGTTTTTCTGGTGGCGGTAACATCTGGACGTAGGGTCGGCGATTTACATGCTATGTCATCCGACCCGGCGCTGACTGTGTTTCACACTGATCGTGTCAGCATTCGCCTCCCGGATACTTACCGCCCAAAGGTCGATCACGCTTTCCATGTGACAGCTCCTAATGAACTTCCCACTCTTACCCAGCCTTCCACATCGGGGACCTCTCCTACGAGCACTCACCCGTTGGATGTCCGCCAAGGCGCTCAAAGTCTATATCAAGCGAGCGCGGGAATCCGTACGGGTACCCAGCTGTTCTGTTGTTACAGTGGCGGGAAGGCTGGTGTGCCAGCGAGCAAGCAGACTTTGTCTCGCTGGCTCGTTTCGTGTATTTGTGCCGCTTATCAGGCTGAGGGCCAGCCTCCCCCTGAGGGGTTGAAGGCTCACTCGGTCAGGGCAGTAGCCGCATCAAAAGCTTTTGCATCGGCACTCCCCATTGAAGAGATCTGCTCTGCCGCTATTTGGAGCCGGCCAAGCACGTTTATACGGCACTATCAGCTCGATACACATTCCCGTAATCGTGCGAGCTTTGGCCGTTCTGTTCTCTCCAGTGGACAGTGTCCTGCCACCCTGACCAAGTGAGTCTTGGTTTATTGGTTTGTTTATTGACGCTGCTGTACAATAATGTGTATTATTGACCTATCCGCTACTAGGAGCTAACTACCCCCTTTCGATTCTCTCAGGAGTTATTAAGTCGATTGTGAGCGGTTTTGACATTCCCCCCTACGGTGCTCACTAATCGACACGTGGTGGGTGGGGTTTTGTTGACATTCGTACCTTGTGCGATTGCCTATGCTAAACGTATGGAGGTCGTTTTTGTGCACAATTCCTCCCTGTCAGTTCCCCTCCCATAATGCCTCTCGCGGAAGTGCAACTGGGACAAGTGACAGGTGAGTGTTATGGCGTCTGTTCAATTTTTTTCCATGATACGTGTGTGCTTGGACAGAATTCCCTCCTCCCTGGCTTCCGGTCTTTGGGAGTCTGTGTTTATGCATAATTTGTACCCCAAGGACGATCTCTATGAAGAAGAATTAACCAAACCTGAAGAGGTTTTCAATTCTTCGAAGAGAGTCAGCCTTGGGGTAGGGCCTCCCGCCTCCCCCTAATTCTGTTCACTGATATATTCAGCAGAAGGAATGATGATCACGGGCCTAGGAGCTTACTTCCAGTTGGTGCGCAGCATGAGCGGGAGGTAACTCCTCAGTAGGTGGGGGGCGATATAATAAATAAAAAAGTTTATTTATTGTACAATCTTTTTATTCAAAAAACATTGATACAACTGTCACAGGACATTTTCAGTTTGGAAAATGCATAATATGTACCCCAAGGACGACTCTCTTCGAAGAATTGAAAACCTCTTCAGGTTTGGTTAAGTTTGTGAGATCTAAGCATGTTTTAAATAAGGCATATGATTGGCTGAAATTGAAGGTCAGTGTCATGAAACTGAAGGTGCCTATAACTCTGATATTGAGGGGGCTAAGTGCTTGGGACTCCCTATTTCAAAGTTTTCTTGCATTAGACATCTATTTTCCTGTAATGACTTGTATTAGGGATATGTTTGCCCAAAATGAAAAAGTTTCTTTTAGGGTAGAGATACAGTACTGAGAGACAGAACATTTGACAGCAATGCTGATCTAGATGAATGTTTGATAGATATAGATGAGGTCAGCTGTCACTGTGTTTTGTGATATTTTTCTGGTTTGAATAGGCATTCACCTCTTGAAAAATTGTGGTTATCATAGTTATGGGGCTTCTTCTGGTTTTGTATATAATGTTAAGACATTTCTAGATTATGAGAATCACCAAACCCTGCGAATCTGTTCTAATAGTGATGTCTGACAGTGATTAAAGGCTTAGCCATAGAACTGTGATTTTCAAAAGTTTCTGTCTCTAAAATGGGAAGTTGTTTTGGCTGATGAAAGATATGGTTGACTAGGTAAAGAAACATGAGACCAAACAAGATGTTCCTTTTTATCCCCCCGGCATGTAATGCGGGGGGATATAGTCGTCGCCTCGTCCGTCCGTCTGTAATCATTTTGTTTCCGGAGCATAACTCCAAGACCGTTCTGGTTTTTTCAACAAAAATTGGTTAATATATCAAACAGAACCTAAGGTTGTGCCTTTTGCTATTTACAGATTTTTGTAATTTTTGTTTTTCGGTTTCCATGGAAATGTTTTGGACTTAGTCTTAAAGGGAGGGGTGGGCTTCGTTTCCAGAGCACAACTTGAAAACTGTTCAATATCTTTCAACAGAATTTGGCAGATATATGAGACAGATCTTGAAGTAGTGCCTTTTGCTATTTACAGATTTTTGTCGTTTTTATTTTTCTTGGTTTCCATGGAAACGATTTGGACTTAGTCTCAAAAGGGAGGGGTGGTTTTGTTTCCGGAGCACAACTCGAAAACTTCTATATATCTTTCAGCAAAACTTGGCAGATTTATGAGGCAGATCTTGAAGTGGTCTTTTGCTCTTTACAGATTTGTGGCATTTGTATTTTTCTTGGTTTCCATGGAAACAATTCAGACTTAGTCTCAAAAGGGAGGGGTAGGTTTTGTTTCCGGAGCACAACTCGAAAACTTCTTAATATCTTTCAGTAAAACTTGGCAGATATGTGAGGCAGATCTTGAAGTGGTGTCTTTTGCTATTTGCATATTTTTGTCATTTATGTTTTCATGATTTCCATGGAAACGATTTCCACTTAGTCTAAAATCAAGCTGGACTTGAGGTAACTGTCAGATGATTTGTTCTTTCAAAGATGTGGGGGCCGGGGGGATATGTCATCTTCTGATGACTCTTGTTTCTAAAACTAGTAAATTCAGAAAATGACATTGTCATATACAGTACATCTTTACCAGTGGGAAGATGTTTTCTCTCTGGTAAATGATTTTTGTGCACTAGTTAAATGTATTTCTAATGCTGAGGAGTACTTCTGCAGATGGCCTTGCTGCAGTTCATCTCCAGTGGTCTGCCCAAGGTTGCAGTTCCATCCACAGTGCACTGTGACCACTTGATTGAGGCTCAAGTAGGAGGAGACAAGGATCTGGCCAGAGCCAAGGTTTGTCTATGTGTATTAGTATAGAAATATACTACTAAAATAAGGTTAATACTCATTCATCCTTTGAACATGCACGGTGTTAAGATCACATATTTACAGGATGTACTGAGGATGAATGAATATGAATGAGTCTTCACTGTAAACTTGGTTACAAATGAAAGGTATAGAGCCTTTTGATATAGGAGATATGACACATGAAATACAACATGATGAAGTGTCAGTGATCATAGGACCACCCTTAATATTTCTGTAATATGTATACTGTATGATTGAATATTACGCTGTGGTCATGTCCTCTGTAGCCCTGTCTCTACCTGTGTAGGGTTTCCTGGAGCAGGCTGAGGCTGACCTAGATAGACCAGCAGCTAACAGGTGTGAGGCTAGCTCTAGGATGCTGCTTCATGTATAGTGCTGCTTACAGTTACACAGCAGAACCTTCTGATAACATTTCTTACAATATCACTGAATGGTCATGTCCTCTGTAGCCCTGTCACTACCCGTGTAGTGTTTCCTGGAGCAGGCTGAGGCAGACCTAGATAGACCAGCAGCTAACAGGTGTGAGGCTAGCTCTAGGATGCTGCTTCATGTATAATGCTGCTTACAGTTACTACACAGAAGAACCTTCTGATAACATTTCTTACAATATCACTGAATGGTCATGTCCTCTGTAGCCCTGTCACTACCTGTGTAGTGTTTCCTGGAGCAGGCTGAGGCTGACCTAGATAGACCAGCAGCTAACAGGTGTGAGGCTAGCTCTAGGATGCTGCTTCATGTATAATGCTGCTTACAGTTACTCGTAGGAACCAAACATTACATGCTGGAATAATCAGTATTGTGTCACAATGTTTCATTACACTGGCAAATGATGATGGCCACAGTGTTCACGAATGGTGTTTCAAAGTAACAGGACATTGGGTCCTGTAAGTTTCAGATGTCTGTCTGACCAACTGAAAATTTACAGGACCCATAGAATAAAAAAATTGAACACACATTTCAGATTTAACATTTCTTTATGTTTAATTGGCATTGAAATTGTTAACAAACATAAAATTTATAAACAGCAAACAAGTGTGACGTGTCACATATAACAACTTCAGTTAGGCATTGTGAAATATACAGTCGGACACAGGGGCCGGCGGGTTGTAGGCTTCCGTCAGACCGTCGGCAAATCTGACGGATTTGTCTGAGGGTTTGGCGCTATTCGTGAACACTGGTACAATAATTTTCTACATCACTTAAATCTGCATACTGTTGACAAATCCAGAATGGTTATCAAGACAAATATGTGATGATAAAGCTTAAATGGCAGATTCTGGCACAACGTGTTGCAACTTTGCTCAGCAGGTTGTGTTGCCTTTAACCACTTGCAGTCAGTGTTCAGTTGAATGTACAGTTGAACACCAAGTATGGAGCACATGGCCCCATTATCAATTGTGCTCAAGCATGATTTTGTCCATGATTTATGGGAATGATATTGAGACAGCTATTTCTATTTCAGGATATCAACAAGGAGGTGTACGAGTTTCTGGCTTCAGCAAGTGCCAAATATGGCGTGGGATTCTGGAAGCCAGGCAGTGGCATCATTCACCAGGTGGGCCTGGACAGCAACTTTTGGGCTGTTCGTTAAACTGCTGTAATTATCCCCCGCAATGCATTTTGCGGGGGGTATTAAAATACACTCCGTCCGTGCACATTTGTCTTTTCCGGAGCGGAACTCCTAAACCGTTCAGTGTTTCTTCACCAAACTTGGCACATAAATAGATCTTGTGGTCTACTGGTGCCTTTTGGTAGTTTTGGATTTCTGGATAAAATATTTTTTTGCGTTTCCATGGCAACAAGTTTCACTTTGACTGAAATTGGTGGTAGTACAATTTTTCTGGAGCAAAACTTAAAAACTGTTCACTGTTTCATCACTAAATTTTATACATAGGTAGGTCTAGTGGTGAACTGCTGCCTTTTGCTAGTTTTGGATTTCTGAATAAAATGGAGAGTATTTTGCCATTGCGGGGAATATTGATGACTTTGTCTTCTTGTTACATTATGTTTTGGAAAAAAATGTTTCAAATGGTTTATGTATTTTGTCCCCCGCTACAACGCAGAACGGGGTACTTTGTATTCAGCTGTGTACGTGTGTCCCGATTCTTGTTAATGTGATATCTCATGAACTGTTGTACCCGATGTCTTCAAATTTGGTGACAACCTATATTGGGAATTACGTAGGCACCAGTCGATTTGGGTGACCTTGACTTTATCTTCAAGGTCACATGACACTTTGACCACTTTTTATCCACCCGGCATGTAATGTGGTGGGATATAGCCGACGCCTCATCTGTCCGTCCGTCTGTCCGTAATCATTTTGTTTCCGGAGCATAACTCAAAAAACGTTCAATATTTTTCAATAAAAATTGCTAGATATATCAAACAGAACCTAAGGTGGTGCCTTTTGCTATTTACAGATTTTTGTCATTTTTATTTTTCTCGGTTTCCATGGTTTTGACTTAGTCTTAAAGGGAGGGGTGGGCTTCGTTTCCGGAGCACAACTCGAAAACTTCTTAATATCTTTCAGCAAAACTTAGCTGATATATGAGGCAGATCCCTAAGTGGTGCCTTTTGCTATTTGCATATTTTTGGCATTTATATTTTCCCCGGTTTCCATGGAAACGATTCAAACTTAATCTCAAAAGGGAGGGGTGGGCTTCGTTTCCGGAGGACAACTAGAAAACTGTTTTATATCTTTCAACAAAACTTGGCAGATATATGAGAAACTTAATCTCAAAAGGGAGGGGTGGGCTTCGTTTCCGGAGGACAACTAGAAAACTGTTTTATATCTTTCAACAAAACTTGGCAGATATATGAGACAGATCTTGAAGTGGTGCCTTTTGCTATTTACAGATTTTTGGCATTTTTATTTTTCATGATTTCCATGGAAACGATTTGGACTTAGTCTTAAAAAAAAATCAAACTGGACTTTAAGTAACTGTCAGATGATTTGTTCTTTCAAATATGTGTGGGCCGGGGGGATATGTCATCTTCTGATGACTCTTGTTAAACTTATGAAAACGTGATATCTCTTAAAATGTTGCACCCAATGTCTTCAATAATGTCGACAGCCTGCATTAGGTGTTATGCAGACACCAGTCATTTCAGGGTGACCTTGACCTTATTTTCAAGGAAACATGACACTTTTCAAAATCTTGTTAACGTGATAACTACATCACACAAAAGATAATCTTCTATGTGACCAAAAAATAAAACAAATAAATATGTTATATTTAATTCTTTTAGCGGCAGGGGACATTGTCATGTTAGTGGCAAACACTTGTTGTAGTTGATGTTAGTGATGTGTAGCAAAGATGTTATATCACGAGTGTCCCTTTGTGTTTTCAGATTGTGCTGGAGAACTACGCCTTCCCTGGTGTTTTGCTCATTGGAACAGACAGTCACACTCCCAATGGAGGTAAGATTTAATTATGTGTTGACTGTTTTAAGAAGAATTGGAATATATGATGCTAGTAGTTGACACAATCATATGAAATTTATAATCACAGTATAATTTATAATTCCACAAGATAAGGGTTAGTGAAAGAAGGCAGCCAATTTCCATTCTTAGGACTCTTACTGTAAGGAATTTTAGAAAAATATAGTCGCCTAGAGGGAATATTCACCTTTGACAATATCACTGAATGGTCATGTCCTCTGTAGCCTTGTCACTACCTGTGTAGTGTTTCCTGGAGCAGGCTGAGGCTGACCTAGATAGACCAGCAGCTAACAGGTGTGAGGCTAGCTCTAGGATGCTGCTTCATGTATAATGCTGCTTACAGATACACAGAAGAACCTTCTGATAACATTTCTTACAATATCACTGAATGGTCATGTCGTCTGTAGCCTTGTCACTACCTGTGTAGTGTTTCCTGGAGCAGGCAGAGGCTGACCTAGATAGACCAGCAGCTAACAGGTGTGAGGCTAGCTCTAGGATGCTGCTTCATGTATAATGCTGCTTACAGTTACACAGAAGAACCTTCTGATAACATTTCTTACTTGATGCTTGTAATACTGTCAAGTTTCAATGATGCGATGTGAATGTACACCACACTGATCTGCAATCTGTGTTTAGCTAAGGTAAAATATAAGTAAGCTCAAGACATCATTGTACTGAGGATCCCTAGTTCTGTACGTCTACCCATTTTGTATATTTGTACTTTAATTACCTCATGTGTGTTGGCACCTATTTCTTCTGGGGTGTACTCAGGTTGTACTAATTGATGTAGTGTTACATGGACAGATATTTTGAAGGCATGTCATCTGTGATACAGGTGGTCTTGGTGGTCTCTGTATTGGTGTCGGTGGAGCTGATGCTGTTGATGTCATGGCTGACATTCCATGGGAACTCAAATGTCCAAAGGTGGGTACCTACTTGTTTCACTTTCATGTTTTGGTACGGTCTTTCACAAATATATTTTTGATGTGCAGTGTTAGAGACTTAAAAACATTCGCTGATCTGTTGTCAGGTGATTGGTGTGAAGCTGACAGGTGAACTGAGTGGGTGGACGTCGCCTAAAGATGTCATTCTGAAGGTGGCTGGCATCCTCACTGTGAAGGGAGGCACTGGGGCTATTGTGGAATACTATGGCCCTGGTGTGGATTCCATCTCATGCACTGGTAGGTAGCTCAGCTGGGAACACTCACTATGAGGGTTCACTGTGAGGACTCAATGTGGGTCATGTATCTAAACCCGTGAAGTAGTTGATATGAAGCATCTGTCTGAATGCATTTCAGGTAGTTTGAATATTAATTCTCTGATGTTGTTACATTTGTCATGGTAGGAATTGTGTTTGAATACTGCAGAATAGCTTGAGTAGTTGTTTGGTAATTGTTTTAAAGGTATGGGCACTATCTGCAACATGGGTGCTGAGATCGGAGCCACAACGTCGGTGTTCCCCTACAACTACAGGATGCAGGACTACCTGAATTCCACAAACAGATCAGGTAGGTCTTTCAAAGTGACCCATCACACCTGTTGAATGGTAGCCCAACTAGTTTAAATAATTGTATGGATGTCTGCATGTTTCCCTGAATGTCAAGAGGGGAGATCACCAGGCCTGACCACCTCTGAGGTTTGACTTAGTAGGTTGTCTTTGATCATACCTGGACATGACATTGATGACCATTGATCGATGTTGTCAGGCTACCATGATCTCATTCACCAACATTAGTCTCTGGTCAGTCTAGTAAGCTCAGAAATATCAAGTCCATATTATAAAACTAAAATGCAAACTGTTTGCAGAGGCCGATGAAAGTTCATAGGACTACTAATGTTGTTGACTATACCTTGATGCTATCCATTCTGTCACTTTGTCTGTTTTGTAAAGCATCTGTTAGTAGTGATGAAGCCTATTGTTCTGTTGTGTCCAGATATTGCTGACCTTGCCAACAAGTACAAGCACCTGCTGTCAGCTGACCCTGATGCCAAGTATGACCAGATCATCGAGATCAACCTCAGTGAGGTTAGTGTACTGCCCATGATTGCTGCAGCCATTCCTGTCTGCTCTGTTGTACAAGATACCCTTGTCCTATTTCAGTCTGCTAGAATGAGAATAGATGTGTAGTCATTATTTGGCCATTGTGTTAGTCACAACCTGTTTCAAGAACCTTCTATTCTGTTTAATGAACCTTTCTATTCTGTTTAAGTGAGGTCAATACCTGTTTTAATGACCCAAAATAGAAAACAATGATGACCTCAGGTTGTGCACTGACTCAGAGTCAATATGTATTTCTGTCAAATGACTATATCACTCCACTCCTTGTCAATGAATATGTTGGAAATCTTTGCATTATGTTACAGGTGTTACAAACATATTTCACTGAGAAATCAATGTTGTGTTACAGCTAGAGCCCCATGTGAATGGGCCTTTCACCCCAGATCTTGCCCACCCTATCTCCAAGCTTGGCAAAATAGCTAAGGAAAGTGGCTGGCCAGCTGAAATCAAAGTTGGTGAGTGTTGACAATTGCTTGTCTCATGTAAAGCATTATGAGATCTCTAGAGCAGTGATCAAGGTTGTTGGGATCAGCCTGACCCTTTGTTCCTACCAGTGATTGTAGCATCTCGTCACCTCCTGTTGAAGGGATGTAATGTTAATGCCTTATGTTTCAGGCCTGATTGGAAGCTGCACCAACAGCAGTTACGAGGATATGAGCAGGTCAGCCAGCATTGCCCGTCAGGCTATCAAAAATGGGTTGAAAGCAAAGAGCCAGTTCACGATCACACCAGGCTCGGAGCAGATTAGAGCCACCATTGAAAGAGATGGGCAGGTATGTCAGTAGGAAGATTCATATACACATTCCAGTCTATACAGGTTAAATTGATGTCAAGCTTATACAAATAGCTCACATTTCAAACTTACTCTGTGTGATGTCCCGAGCAGGCTATGTCCTCCGTACAGATAAGTAATAAACTGGGGGATAGAAATTGCTAATGATATGTCACCTGTTTGAGTGTTAAGATATCCCTATGGAGTGGATGTACTAATAATGTCAACCTATAGTGTGTCTGGTCAAAGTATTTACAGCCTGCAGCATGGCATCTCAGGGGGCTAGCACTATTAAAGTAACATATATCTCCAGACATCTACAAGCAGACACATGTCCATGTGAATTGGTGTTGCTGTATAAATGCAGTATGTAATGCCCATTTTACTTCTGCATTAATGTTGATACAGTCGAAATACTTAAAGGCTGACTAAACTGATATAGAATATGTACCGAAGTTTATCACAAGTTATTATTACAATGAATAGGCACAAGACTTGGCTGGGCTTGGTGGGGTTGTGTTGGCCAATGCTTGTGGTCCATGCATTGGCCAGTGGGATCGTAAAGATGTCAAGAAGGGAGAGAAAAACACCATCGTCACATCCTACAACCGCAACTTCACTGGACGAAATGATGCCAACCCAGCCACTCATGCCTTTGTGACGTCCCCTGAGCTGGTAACAGCTTTAGCCATTGCTGGTGACCTCGGCTTCAACCCTCTTACAGATGAGCTCACTGGAGCTGATGGTGAGTTGTGCTGCTGTCTAGTTGCTTAACACTTAAAGGCTACACTGGTCACACCTACTTAGAGCAAATGGCAGGTTCTGTTTAAATGGATAGCCTAGTGGTTATGTGCCATATAGCTCAAACTTCGTTCTGCTATCACTATGTTGGCAACAATGCATGATTTGAGTAATACATGTAATTCATAGTTTTGATCTGTATTTTTTGACAATATTATTTAATTTGCTTGTTAGACATCTCAAACCTTCAGTTACTTTTGAAATGATTGTAGGTTAGGAAAAGGAGTGAGTGCTGCCTGTAGCAATATTCCAGCTATATCATGGCAGGGCCCAAAATTACTGGACTTCAGACATTGTTCCCATGTAGGAATTGAACCTGGATTTTCAGTGTAATGAGCAAATGCATGAACCACAAGGTAACCCCACTGCCACATAAAGTGTAAATCAGTAACAGGTTTTTCATTAAACATATTCTTATGTGAACATTTCTCGTGATTTTTCAGGTAAGAAGTTCAAGCTTGAGAGTCCCTATGGTGATGAATTGCCCGCCAAGGGGTTTGATCCTGGACAGGACACGTACCAGGCACCCCCTGATGATGGGTTCAAACTCAAGGTGAATGTGTCACCTGACAGCCAACGTTTACAATTGCTGGCTGGTTTTGACAAGTGGGACGGCAAGGACATCCTAGACATGCCTGTTCTCATCAAGGTGAACAACTTCGAAATACTTAATTCGCTGTGGTATGAGCTTTTATGGTTGGTCAATTCAAACAAACTGATGATCTTTTCACAGTTTGCTTTCCTGTCACCAGAGATGCATGATCAGATTCATCACATTGTTGCACTTGTTTTTTCGAGCCCAATATGAGTAGTCACTTCATGTCTAAAATGTTACAGTTCTAACTGAAAATATTCATCTCTGTCTGCCATTTGTTAATGAGATTTGTTCCATGTTTAGGCGAAGGGCAAATGCACCACAGACCATATCAGTGCTGCCGGACAATGGCTCAAGTACCGTGGCCACCTCGACAACATCTCAAACAATTTGCTCATTGGGTAGGTTTATAGTCAATAAATTTCCTTTCTGTTTGTTCCCTAATCTCTGTGTGCATGCGTGTATCTGTTGCTCAGTCATCTGACATGTCTAAGGTGCCACAATTTGCTGTACAGAGTTGTTGCCTAGGGGATGCAAGAAACCCTTAACCACCTTGACATGAGGCAATACAGTTAGAATACTATACTCCCCCCTAAATGTTCTGTTACAGGCATAATAATTGAAAATAATTACTGATACAGTTGCACTGAAACAGAACAACAGAATGTGTGAATCAATGTGTTGGTACAAGAATATGCTACAAAGCGCCTAAAAAGGAGCTGCCAGACTCTGGCATTATTTTGAAAAGGCAAAAACTGTTTAAAAAACCATCTGCATGTGCAAATTGCAGACAGTAAAACAAGCATGCTGTGACTTCAGTAGGTAGGGTTTAAAAAGCAAATGTCAGCAAAACACTTACAGTGATCATTGTCATTTGCTCTGTATATTCATTTGATATTTATTCATGTTTCAGAGCTGTCAACTCAGAGAATGGTGAAATAAACAAAGTACGGAATCAGTTGAGTGGAGAATTTGGTTCTGTGCCAGAAACAGCTCGATATTACAAGGTATAGTCTGCTTAGGTGTTCAATATATTTTTGTAAAGGTATTCAGAAGTAATCAAGGAGATACTGTCCATCATCCTTAAAGATTTTCTATTCATGAGGGGCTGTGGGGTAAGTGGTTAAGCGTTTCTCGTCATCCGGGAGATTCCCCACATGGGTACAATTTGTGAAGCCTATTTCTGGTGTCCCCCGCCGTGATATTGCTGGAATATTGCTAAAAACGGCGTAAAACCATACTCAGTCAGTCAGTCAGTTCTATTCATGATACATGAAAGTTTCTTTAAACCCAAGTACTTGATTGTGTACATGATTGCAGGCTAAGAAGGTACCGTGGGTCGTAGTGGGAGATGAGAACTATGGTGAGGGCAGCAGCCGAGAACATGCAGCTCTGGAACCCAGACATTTGGGTGGGAGAGCAATCATTGTGAAGAGCTTCGCCAGGATTCATGGTATGTCATGTGCTTGAGGTTGATAAGCCCACCAGTGAATTCAGATATTTCTTTAAAACCCCAGATTATCCTGTGCAGTATGGTCTAATATTGGCATGCTACTTTTCTTGAACAGATGATGTAATATGTAAATTTTATGGTTGCTACGGTTTAACGTTATCCAAACTATCTTTATCAGTAGTTATGGCTTACGAAGTATTTGTATTTTGTTTTGCCTAGATCTTTAGTGTGTGATAATGCACTGGTTAATAACACAAATACTCTTTCCAAACATCAGATAACCCTGATCAGTGTCACACAGAAGCTCACATTTCATACCTTACTAATGAAAGTCAAATCACAGAGGAACCACTTACCCGTGAAATGTATTGATATTTTCTGTGGAAACAATCGCTATGAACAGTATTCTATCTGCTGTTCTGCTGATCTCAGTATAGACAGGGTATACAAATTAGTATTGACTTGGTGCAGATGTGTTCCATTAATGGCATATTGTATATGGTAGTGATGGTATGGGCCTGGAAATGGACTTGTTTTAGTGGTACATTATACAATGTTTACTCTCTGCAATGAGTCCTGATTGTCATTCCACTGTTTCACTTACAGAGACCAACCTGAAGAAACAGGGCATGTTGCCGCTCACATTCACCAACCCAAGTGATTATGATAAAATCAAGCCAGATAGCAGAATCTCTCTCCTTGGATTACAGAACCTTACACCTGGACAGGTAAGTTTCTAGGCAATAATTTCTCAGGTCCCCATGTTTTTTAAGCCTTGGTGATTGGACTCAACCCCAAAACATCTAGAATTTGTACTATACTAAGTGTAATTCCAAATATAACATTTGGATAAATTTGCCCTGCACTCTAGTCATTGCAACTGTTCGGTGTTCTAAAATGCCGGTTAGACTTACACTGAGTGTATGTAAAAAAGATGAATTACTAAAAGATTCTTTACTAAATAATTCTTTAAGAAATGCAAATGTTTGTTTAAATAAAGCTTAGACCTTTAACTCTTTGTAAACATTTTATAATAATTGGCAAAATACCCACAAAAATAAATGTTTGGGGAAAGATAATCAATTCCATTATGTATGACTCCATTATGTATTGTGTTAAGTTGATTAAACATTTGCAGTGTTTCTGTACAGTGTATGCCCAATTTAAGTACAAAAACTGGTCATATCCTATTCTGCTTGTAAAATATCCTGATGCTTTCCCTTCCAGAATGTAGCATGTGAAATCAAGCACAAAGATGGATCTGCTGACAAGATTGAACTGGCACACACAATGAACGATGGCCAGATTCAGTGGTTCCGTGCAGGAAGTGCTCTCAACAGAATGGCAGAGATGAAGTGATTCTCCAGTTCTGGGAATATCTGTGAATGAGTGATCCGTAGATCCTCTCTAGACAATTCAGGAATAACTGTGAATGTGTGATAGGAAGGCAGGGACGTTGTCTCACACTGACCTTCTGGCTGCAAGTACTCACGTCATAATATACAGATGTGATTTAACCTCAGACATTTTTTTGTCATTAGACCTCAGTTAAAGAGTGTGATTGTTATGTAGAAATCAAATTACTGGACCGCAGAATTGTTTGTACTTTTGTTGATGACTTAACCAGACAGATGTAGCAACACACTTTGTATGTAAATATTGCCAGATGAATAAATATATTTCAATTGTTAATTGCTCTTGATAAGTATGAAGGCATGATACCTGTTTGCTCACCTTTACACAGGTGGGACCTTGTTTGCTGCATTAAAACCTGAATATACACACTCCTTGAATTGTTTACCCACCAGTCCGAGTCTAGTAATATTCTGTTTTTGGTCCAGTAAGCTTAGCTAATAAAAGTAAATAAAACACTAAAATCTACTGAAAATGATGCTACATCCTATCTTAGGAACAAAGAAGGCAACAATCAGTGTATAATAGTGAACATGTATTTAAACAAGGTAATTTAAACAAGGTTCTGTAGGAGGATTCAGTGTTGGGTATTCCTTGTTGAGGATGTTGAACATCTATCTAGAGATTTGGAGAGGAACACTTATAGCATACAAATCGGGATAACATATAATGAGAAAACATGACACCTTAAAGTTTACAAACAGAAACACTACCTTGTCATGACTGTTGGCACTACAGTAACAAACAGCCTTGGTGTTATGTTCGACATGGCTTTATTTACAGCTTAACACATTGTATTGGGACATAATTTTGCTGTCAAAATCTAAGAGTGGCATGGTAAACATGATATATATATATATATATATACACACATAAGGACATGAATATGTCAATTGTTTTGTCCATAGGTTTTGATCAGCATTCAGTGCTAAGCATAAAACAAAGTGATTGCACATGTTTAAGCTGACAAAGTACCTCAAGTTTTTAATGCAATCTGATGCTGTACATTGGAATGGTTACACTTCCTCATGAGAGTTTGGTGTATATCTCTTGAAAACCTTCCACTTTCCCACTTGCTGCCCTCCTCTTCACATAGTTCATGATCCGGTTCTGAAACAGTCGTGCATCTTTCATTATCCACTGTATTACAATAATACCACAGCTTTGATTTGAGTCTGTTTACATACACCATAGCAATAATACCATGAGTCAAATTACAATTTATTGATAACTGGCACCTTACAGGGGATTAACTACAAGAAAGAACTGAACTCATGTTGTGCTGTCAAACTCATTCAGAATAGCCGTTTCGATTGGTTGAAGAAACAAAGTTATGGTATTGAATAATACCAGTAGTAATGGTATGTCGTATCATATTGGGTAAGGGGTAATATATTGGGTGAAGGATGCTTTTCTGCTTGCCTGACATGGTGTCTTTGGCTGCTGTACAGTGTCATAACTTATTTATTATGCTGCAAAAAGTACCCTGATATGAACTGAAGTATTTTTAGCCATGTGTTATTTATCTTTGATCTCATTTTGTCACCCATAATGCAATATCTGCATAATGCAAACTCACCCTGAGTTTGACGTCCACCTGGCCATGTTTCTGTGCCAGGGTCCACAGGTTGCTGACAAGAGTGGCTAGATTCGGCTGACTTAGATCACCATGTGCAAGGATTACATTCACCAGCTCCAAGGCCACTGCACTCTGACGTTTGGCAGTCTGAAACCAGAGCAAAAGTCATGCTGGAATACAAAGGCTGGTGAAATTCAGATGACTTGGTCCAAACTGGCATCCATGGAAGGTTTAGAAAACAGGTCCCTCTTGTTATGATCTGAAGTAAACAAAAAGGTCAAACTTATGAAAGATTGTGAACTGGTTAGTCATGAACTTACCTCTGGACTTGAGAGAGTCTTCAAGTGGTTCAGGATCTGCTCTACCAGCATGCTGCACATCTTCTTCACCTCTGTCAGAAACTTGGGGTCAGATCCATACAGTGCATCATTGGAATCAACTGAAATGAGGAACAGTTCTTGAAGTGAAATGTACATAAGTCCTGTGGTGTTATCTGGTTTTGTTATGGCCTGTATATTCTCTAAACATACACTCTGTTTAACTGTTTAAAATTACACATCAGCAAAAGGTGCACATTTGTGGTTGGTGTGTATCATACTTTTTTCACAAAGGGACACATTTTCTGATTTGTGTACGCAAACTCAGCCTGTGGTTTGATACATCTTTCCTAAGTCAGAACACTAAGCATCTTGGCTCTGATAAATTGATTAACAAAACTGGACAAATAACTCTAAATATAATAAAAAACATAAGTGTTCTGAGTTTCACTATGTAGTTTGAGGTTAGTTTCTGTTTCAACATAATTACGTAGCGCTTGATTTACGCTTTTAGAAGATGCACTGGTGCAACATGAAACTACAAAATGCAACCTCATATTTAGACTACCTTGCACCCAGTACATGTTGATAGTTTATGTTCAAAGAACACAAACTTCAGCTGTGAAACAGAATGATGAGGAACTGGCTTGAAGCAGTGACTCTGATAGCTCATGGACGGTAACTGAATTCATGTTACTGTTCATGTCAAGAAATTTTATGAAGTAAGATAAACTAATCTTATCAGACCCAGCATAGTGTCATAATAGTGTTCTGCTTTTGTATGGTGCAACAAGATTTTGAACTAGGATTTCACCAGGTGCAAGTAGGTTTCATTTCCTTAAATCAAGCCCTATGAAGCTACTGATGAACTGATACAAATGTCTTGATGCTCTGTACTCTTGTTCACCTTTGTCAATATGGTAAGGAAATGTTTCCTGGCAGCTGGCAGACAACGTGGCGATGACACGGGTGTACACGAGGGCTCGTGCGTCGCTGCTGTTGTCCCAGGTGTAGTCCTGAAGCACATTCAGCAGTCCGCGCAACAGGTACATCACACCTGCCTCTGGGTTGTCCTGAAACCAGAAACCAGACAGACTATGATTTAACCCTGTTGTGCAATATTCCATCAATATCACAGCAGGGCCTATGTGGTGACAAGACAGATGCATCAATAGCAGTTCTGTTTGAATAATAGATTCTCTTGCATCTATCAGATCTTGTTCAAGATCAATATTAAAGATTGCTGTTAAGGCCACTTGACCTAAGTCGAGCTGCTTTATGAGAAGTACTTGATACTGAGGAGAAATTCGACACAACTTCACAACATGGTTACACCAATAATGATGATAGGTGAGGATTTCAGTCATATTACCATGACAACAGTCGCAGGACGTACCGGTGTGACAAGCAGCGTTGACACAAAGTTGTATATAAAGTCAATTAAGAAGGGTTCCGAGGACTTCTTCCCTTCAGTCTCCAGGATACGAGGAACATCGGGGATGAGGGATATAGCTGCTTTGAAGAATGCATCTCCTGGAACACACAGTGGAGTTACACATGACTACAAATCTGTTGTACACATGTGGCAGGGGAAGCTCTTGTGAGTAGCGCCTCACTCAACAATATTTCAGCTATATGAGAGCAGCACTGTCTGTGAAAGACTTACCCTGAGAGAAACACTGGTTGTGAAGCTCCTATCTGTGAGAGACCTACCCTGGGAGAAACACTGGTTGTGAAGCTACTGACTGTGAGAGACCTACCCTGGGAGAAACACTGGTTGTGAAGCTCCTATCTGTGAGAGACCTACCCTGGGAGAAACACTGGTTGTGAAGCTCCTATCTGTGAGAGACCTACCCTGGGAGAAGCACTGGTTGTGAAGCTCCTATCTGTGAGAGACCTACCCTGGGAGAAACACTGGTTGTGAAGCTACTGTCTGTGAGAGACCTACCCTGGGAGAAGCACTGGTTGTGAAGTTACTGTCTGTAATAGACCTACCCTGGGAGAAGCACTGGTTGTGAAGCTACTGACTGTGAGAGACCTACCCTGGGAGAAGCACTGGTTGTGAAGCTACTGTCTGTAAGAGACCTACCCTGGGAGAAGCACTGGTTGTGAAGCTCCTGTCTGTGAGAGACCTACCCTGGGAGAAGCACTGGTTGTGAAGCTACTGTCTGTGAGAGACCTACCCTGGGAGAAGCACTGGTTGTGAAGCTACTGTCTGTGAGATACCTGGGAGAAGCACTGGTTGTGAAGCTTCTGTCTGTGAGAGACCTACCCTGGGAGAGGCACTGGTTGTGAAGCTACTGTCTGTGAGAGACCTACCCTGGGAGAAATACTGGTTGTGAAGTTACTGTCTGTAATAGACCTACCTAAGAGAGAGAGGCACTGAAGTTGTGAGAGCTACTGTCTGTGAGAGACCTACCCTGGGAGAAGCACTGGTTGTGAAGCTACTGTCTGAGTGACCTACTGTCTGGGACCTGGGAAACACTGGTTGTGAAGCTACTGTCTGTAAGAGACCTACCCTGGGAGGAGCACTGGTTGTGAAGCTACTGTCTGTGAGGAGACCTGGGAGAAACACTGGTTGTGAAGCTACTGACTGTGAGAGACCTACCCTACCTTGGAGAAGCACTGGTTGTGAAGCTACTGTCTGTGAGAGACCTACCCTGGGAGAAGCACTGGTTGTGAAGCTACTGTCTGACTCCACCCTGGGAGAGACCTACCCTGGGAGAAGCACTGGTTGTGAAGCTACTGTCTGTGAGAGACCTACCCTGGGAGGAGAGAAGCTACTGAGAGACCTACCCTGAGCACTGGTTGAGCAAAAGCCACCTGGCCTGACACTAGGTACAGCTGCAACTGGGACACGACAGACTGAAGTGATGGTATCGTGATGAAGGAGTAAGCTGAACACGCCTGAAAAGTTCAACAACATGTATCTTGTATGATTTTATCTGACCATGGTTGCTCTAAGTGACAGTGAGTTTGAGCAATCTCCCGATCAGTTCACACAAGATTTTGACACAATTCATGAAACAAAGTTCTGACTAAAATCAATAAAATAGATTTACAAACACCCCAAATATAGAACAAATAGTTATAATAACAGGATAGCATACATATTTAATGACAGGATGAAACTGTACGTCAATATGGATTTCTTGATATAGTATTATGTGTGTTACATACAATAATTTCTTGGAATTGGGAAAAAAAACCCATCACTGCTCATTGTGGCTTATGTGCACCCCTCTACCCAGCTGTATATAGTATTGGGGCCAAGTGGTTAAAGCGTTTGCTCGTCACACTAAAGACCCAGGTTGGTTCCCCACATGTGTACATTGTGTGAAGCCCATTTCTTGTATCCCCCACTTTGATATTGCTGGAATATT